CTGCCTCATGGTCGATGAAGCCTGCACAGTAAGCGGCCGCGATTTCGCCGCTCGAGTGACCCACGGAAGCGACTGGCTTGACACCCCATGCCTTGCAGAGATCGGCAAGAGCAACTTGCAAAGCGGTGCATACAGGCTGGCTGTAGTCCGTCCGGCGCAAGTTACAGCCCGACTCGTCACGGTCCAGCTCCTCTGTCAAGGTCCACGGACAGCCCAGAGACTTAAGAATCAGCTCTGACCGTAGCATGCTATCTCGGAAAGTCTTGTAAACTGAAAGCTCCTTGCCCATCTGAAAGTATTGAGCACCCTGTCCGGTAAAGACAAAGGCTATCCTCGGCACCGAGGAGTTGGAGGATCGGACCACGGCAGGAATCTTTTCAAGACCCTGACGGAGACTTGAGACATCAGAGGCAATGGCAAATGATTTCCATGGGAGCGTGGTTCTCTTGGAAAAGAGAGTATATGCAAGATCGGACAGGAAAGAAGGCTTGCTTGAGGTCTTGCCATCCAAGTAGGATGCCAGTCTCTCAACATTGCGCTTCACACCCTCCTGGTCGTTGGAAGAAAGCACAAAGAGTTTTGAAGCAACTTCTTCGTGACTGACGTCGCTGATTGTCTCTGTTTCGGAGCCATTTTCACTGACTGAACTGGAAATGGTAAGAAGCTTAGGGTTGGCAGTTGTGTAGTGACGTCCTGAACGGCCGTGACGGAACAGGTAAGATGCAGCATCTTCGAGAATAACGTGGGCGTTGGCGCCTCCGAAACCAAAAGAGTTGATGCTGGCCCGTCGTGGACCGCTGCCGGGCCAAACTGTGAGGGTTGTGGGGACCTTGACATTCTCTGGAAGTTCGATCTGGGGATTGAGTTCCTCAAACCTGAAATATATGCCTTAGTAAAGCGTTCGTCAACCTTTTATCGTTTTTATTTTTTGGAGACTGACCACAGGTTCTGAGGGATCAGTCCCCTTTCAACGGCGAAGGCAGCCTTGATGATGCCAGCGACACCCGCTGCGCCCTCCAGATGTCCGATATTGGCTATTGAAAAGGGTCAGTTTCGCCGACATAATAAACTCAGAAAGCCAAGGTACATACTCTTCACTGAACCGACATAGAGATCGGACTTGCGATTGGGCAGATCTCCAATCGTATTCAGAATGGCACGAGCCTCGAGGGGGTCGCCGGCTTGGGTTCCAGTGCCGTGAGCCTCAACATAGCCCGTCTCCGCAGGATCGACGCCTGCATCGCGGTAAGCTTTGCGGATTAGCGCTTGCTGGGCTTCGCTGTTCGGTAGTGAAATTCCGGGGGTTCGGCCGTCTTCGTTTGCTGCCGAAGCCAGCACGACAGCTCGAATGGTGTCTCCATCGCGAAGCGCGGCTTCAAGAGGCTTCAAGATGGTGACGCCGAACCCCTCTCCACGCGCGAATCCGTTGGCCTTGGCGTCCCACATCTTGGACTTGCCATCGGGCGAGAGAATCTTTGCAGCGCCGAGAAGGATAGACATGTCAGGCCCGAACATCAGATTGGCACCTGCAACAACACTCTGTCATGAAAGAAGTGGATTAGCGTCATATTGTTTCTTGGTTTCATTTTCAAATATTTTCTTACCATTTCCGCTTCCCCGGTACGGATACTCTGACAACCCAAGTGAAAAGCAGTCAGACTTGACGAGCATGCAGTGTCGACTGTGACTGACGGTCCTTTGAGATTGTAAAACCAAGACAGCCTATTTGAGGCCAAAGAGGACGATAGGCCAGTGGCATCTTCCTCTTGTGTTAGAAGCAGTCCTTTCATATGTAACAGAAAGATTTGTAACTAACGGTAGATGGAAGGAGCCTCGTTGCTTTGGGCTTGTAAGTTGACAAAGTCGTTCGTAAATGTGCCAATGTAACACGACGTTTGTGTTCCTGAGACATCTTCCAGTCTCAAGCCAGCTGCCTTGGAGTCAGTACGCATTCTGCACGCCAATTGTTCCATGGTTAGGTACCGTTCTCAAAGCCTTCATATGCAGCCTCAAGGAGCATTCTCTGTGTGGGATCCATCGCCTTGGCCTCTTTGGGAGTGACGGAGAAGAAGGGTGCGTCGAAGACCTTGAAGTCTTGCTTCAAGAAATGAGCGTGCCTTGGGAGACGGTGAGTCGATAGCGCATTAGAGTGGCAATCGCATCGTGCTGAAAGCTTACCTCTGCTGTATGCTGCCCAGTCTTTCCGGGTCAGGGTGGTAGAAGCCGTCGACATTGTAGCGGTCTTTTGGTATTTCGGAGCGTGCAGAACGGGCATCAAGGAGCATCTGCCAGAACTTCTCTGGGTCAGAGGCATCTCCTGGGGCTCTCACGCCAATCCCGATGATTGCAATAGGCTGATTTGTGCTTGGCGCACTAACAGACTCGTCGATGAACGGCATTCTGCCAAACAGATGAGGCAGAGAAGGAAAATTAGTAATGGTACGGCTAGCGGGTATCTTAGATATGTAATGAAGGGGAGATTGGAAGGTACGCGAGAGTCAGAGGATAGGGAATACGGACAGATGAGCAGGTTTTGAGTATAATATTTCTCCTTTGGAGAGTCTCTCGGAGCAGCAGTCCGCAGCTTTTCCGCATCCCTAAGATCCATACAAGGACAACGCCAAACGAGCCGACCATTCTATGGTCCTCAGGCAAAGTGACTGGGCCAATGCTATCATGAATTCCAGGCACGTTTCTGGCTCCGATGCCGAAGGCAACTTGAATGCACGGGGGGGCGTGTGGATGTGCCAGAGAAGTTTCCGCGTCCCTGTCCAGCTTCAAGAACAATCTGGGGTTGTCAGTACAATCATGGTATCCAGAATGGAGATGGTCAACTGGGCCAGCCCACTACCGCATGGGTCCCGGATTCCATATGACCCAGCGGGTCCATATATTAGACCGCTGACTATTGTCTCGAAAGACCCCAGCTAGGTCGGAACTGTGGATAGACACTCATATGCATGGCATGGTAAAGATAGCGTCCAGAACCTTTCAGGCACGTGTGTCGCCCGTCGGCAAATGATCGAGATAAAGAGAGAGTTTGAACTCCTACCGGCATCATTCGGCCAGGTTGGTAACTTGTCACTGATAATCTGGCTAGTCTCTTAGGTCCAAGTAGACGACGTAAATGTAATGACTTGCGACAAGTCTTGGTTCTTAAGACATACAATAAGTTAAATACAAGTGAATTATAAGTTCGTCTTGAACGGCTCGCGACTGATGGTTTAAATGTTTTAGACTAGGCTAATTCTCGTACGGCAAGCATGACATTACAAGTGCAGCACATTCTCCTATGATTCTGCTTTCAGATGCAGTGTAATGGCCAATTAAAGCTTCTCTCGGCAACATTATATTCTTGTTTCGTTACTAGTCTTATAGAAGTCTAGCTGTTTCTTCATCAGCCCAGTCCACATTCCAATGCAGGCGACATCAATCAATCACCAATTGTTTCAAGTTCAACATTGAAAACATAACTAGGCCCACGCTCCATTGATCCAAAGTCTTCTGGATGGTTGATGGAAACGACAAGCTGTGTTATCGTCCTATGTAATGGTCAACTTAGAAATGGAGCCCAGTTTAGGCTACTATCTAGGAACAAGACCACGAGCCCGGCGGAAGCTGGTATCCAAATGGCATAGGGAACCAGATAACTGAAATGGGACACCAGCTACGAATCCATATTTCATCGGCTTCCCTTCAAGTCCTACAAGCCTAATATCCGTAGACTCTTCGTCGTCTCCAATAAGAGAATACCGTCAGATGCCTTGACAGGCTCCCGAAGCCAATTTTCTTTTCTTTTTTTTCACTCATTTAATTTTGATAAGCTGTCACTGCTGCGTGTCTACATCAAGACCTCAGTGGGTGGCAAGACGTTCTCAAATGAAATTCGAAGCAACGCCATAACGCATAAGTAGTTAGAACTGAACGTAGTGTTTGCTGCGGATGTGATGAAGTTGTATCTGTCGTTGGCAGTGTCATCACGTCACATATTTTACCAAGGGCCCATAAGCCAAGTCTGTGCAAGGATACGCCGGCTTGGCTATTGTAGCGCTTCCCTGTATCTATCCAATAGCGTGGGCACTGCGACATTGAGCGCCGCCGATTTGTCTAAATTACGGAGATGATCGATAACAGCGAGGAATTGAGTTTATGTGCCGCTACATAGTTGCAGTTGAAGCGTTTACGGAAACGGCCTTGAACGAACACACAGCTACTGCGTGGTAGAACCATTTCTCAGACTCAGACAACTGATTGAGACTACGGGGGGCTGATGTTTTCTATAGTGGACAACATAGTGGACAACCCCGGTTGTCTCCAAGTCTGCCCAATGACTTGAAGCCATTCGAGCACGTTTCCGTGACCAGACTAACAGACGGGAAGTGATAAGGAAATGCCTGTGTGTAAATCAACCCATAATGGGCGGGCTGCGGCGCAAGGGGGTCCCTGGACATCAAACTGAACCCTGAATGACGACTGGGGTTCGTTCCTAGAATTCCAGATTTCTCCTTCAAGTATACGAGAGATTTTGGTGGCTAGCTGCAAATAAAAAGCTTATTACCCGATGTATCCTGGGAGCCCGCTCTACCAGGGTCCACCGAGCACGAGTCAATGCTTGTTTGGACATAGGTTCTGTACCCCGGTCTTGGCTATCCAGTCCTTCAGGAACAGGACCCGATTGGTTTACTCCGATCCCACGTGAAATCGCTATCAGAATCCACGTTGTCTGTCATGAGAGGTGACACAGCTACAGCCTTTTCAGATCCACCCTCACCTTAATTGCAAGTTCCTCTTGGTATGGGGCCCATGAAAATATGCTCAGGAATCCCTCTGTGGACCGATCTCCGCGTCATCATGGTAGCCGAGGTGGTAACGGAATGCGTCATGTCGCCGAAGCCGGCAGTTGTACATTACGAGGTATGATAGGGACTGTCGAAGATTTGTGACTGGCATTTCCCTTGCCTTTCCAGAAGTAACTCACAAGTACGGATTCATCTGCAAGAATGACAGAAGCCATCAGTTCCAAGACAATTGAGAAAGAGCTCGGGCCCAAGCTATCGGCTGGAGCGCGGCTACAGCTCCCCGGATCCGCGGGTTTCGAGAAGTCGAACCTGCGGTTCACCGAATATGAGAGACCGGTGAGTCGAATGCAAGTTTAAGGAGAGAATAATCACTGACCTCGGACTATCACAGATGTATCTAGCGGCCGTGGAGCCGGGTTGTGACGAAGACGTGATCGAGGTGATGAGATACGCCAGAGAGAGAGGCATTCCATTTGCGCCTCGATCAGGACATCATGCAGTGACATCGACGATGCGATACCTGAAGAACGGGATCCTCATCGATATGAGGCCTCTTAACAAGTTGAGCTTTGACGCCGACAACCATCAGGTGACTGTCGGAGGAGGCGTCATCACAGACGATTTCGTCAAGTTTCTCCAGTCCGTGGGAATGGAAGTCAGTGAGTAACTAGCCGTCGAGGCTTGCCACTTTATGGCTTGTGTTGAGGCCAACTAACCCCGGTACAGACGTGGGATCTTGTCCTACCACAGGCGTCATCGGAGTGGCTTTCGGCGCCGGGCTTGGCCGCCTTCAAGGCAAATACGGCTTCTTGCACGACAATATGGTATCCTGCAAACTAGTTCTTGCCGATGGGCGCGTCTTCGTGGCATCGCGCGATTCGGAGCCCGATCTCTTCTGGGCGATTCGGGGAGCCGGGCACAATTTTGGCATCGCGCTCGAAGCCACATTCCGTGTGTATCCCGAGGCAAACAAGGGCATACACTATACGTGGGACCTAGAATACACACTGGATCAGTGCGATCCCGTATTTGACAAGCTTAACAGTGTGCATGAAACCATGCCCCCGGAGATGGCGATATTTGTGCTTTGGCTTCGCCAGAGCGAAGGAGGGCGAAAGGCATGTTTCTCAAATCCATACAAGCTTCCGTGTAGCTAACATCAGACATTTCCCCCCCCTTCCAGCATCACATACTTGTCAACATTGTCTGGTCAGGCAAAGAAAACGAAGCAGCCCCCTGGGTCGACCGATTCGAAAGCCTGAGCCCCGTGGTTAACAGCGGAAAAGTGGCAATCAGCTGGGCAGAGCTCCCATGGACCACATACAAGGGAATGAACAAGATCTTGAGCAAGCCTGAGGTATGGTCTCTGGCGCCCAACAAGATGATGGGCGCGGCCTGCGTGGAGAAGTTCGATCTCGCTACGACCAAGGCCTTCCTGGAGAGCGTCAAGGCGATGAACGAGGAATGGGCAGGTAAGGGCACCTTCGGGGCCATGTTCGAGTGTTTGCCTCACCACAGAGTCAGAGAGCTGCCCAGCGAGGCGACGGCTTTCCCATGGCGCTGGGGCTCGAACCATTTCTTGTGAGTTCCCCGATGAGTTGTGGGAGTTTCCCGCGCCGAACAGACATGCACTGACACGATGGGAACAGGATGCTCATGGCCACGCCGCTGAAGACGGAACACAGGGAGACATTCGAAGCTCACCTCGATCGCTGGAAGAAAGAATTCATTGCGACGTCCGGATACGGTCGGCTGCAACAGTACGTCAACTATGGGAACACCACGTCGACGATGAGGGACCCTCCGGAGGCATTGTACGGCTACGAACCGTGGAGATTGGAGAAGCTGCGCGCGTTGAAAAAGCAATACGATCCTGACAACGTGTTTCGCTGGTATCAACCATTGATAGAGGAGGAAATCCCACAAGGCTAAGATGTTATCTCAACTTGTTTCACAATAGGTTTGGGGCCCCAACATATCAGACAGTGGAATATCTTGGCTGTACGCAACGCTTATTAAAGCCCGATGCCTTTTGAACTAGGCTGGTTGACAAGCTTTTGTGTCTCTTCGATAGGTAGAAACAAGAGACCACCGAGTCTGAATACGGATAAGATCGCACTGGTATGCTTTGGAACTTGTACATGGGCGCCAGGGTAGTCTTCAGCACCATTTGTGACTCGAAATACCATTTGCTAAGCCTGCCATCAACCGAACAATCAATCGGCAGATGTCCTAGTCAGGGAGCTAGCTTCAGGCATCTCTTCCTTTCTCTGGAGACCTAGGACTGATGACCATCCCTTGTCTCGGCTCTAGGATCTAGGGTTTCCTTGCTGTCGGGTCTTCGCCCCGCCACGATGGCACGTTGCCGGGGACCCCCGTCATTCAGAGAGCTCAAGCCCTCGAACCAATGCCAAGCTCTGTCTCAAGCACGTTGGCGGCGATCGGTTTGCAGCAGTGACATACGATCTTTGCTCAAACATGGGCGGCAAGCGAAGACGGAGGAAGGGTGGTTCTGTCAAAGTTGCTGCCGAAGCCGAGAACAGATTGATAACGGATCGTGAGAATGGAAACAGGTGATCGTGTCTTCCGCGTCTGCTCTAGACTCTCAGGGACAGATGATTGATCCGAACCATCTCTAGCTAGACAGACACAAGGGCTGCTGAGATTCACAATGACAACTGAGATTCTCCTACCAGGTTCATGGCGCGAGCTCCTGGTTTCCAAAGCCCGCCATGGCCTCCCATTGTACATCCTGATACCCATTCTTCTCGTCGCCATCAACCTCTCGGTCGGCCTTCATCGCAGAATCTCCCGCGCCCGCCGGGCCAGGAAGCTCTCATGCCGCCCAACGCCCCTCGAACCTTCGAGCCTCCCCCTCGGCATCGACACCGTGCTCTCCTCTCTGCGCGCCGACCGGGAGCAACGCACGCCGGACCACGTCGCCGCGCGCTTCGCCGCCCTCGGCGCGTACACGTTCCGCATCTCACTCCTGGGCACGACGAACCTCGTCACGGCCGACCCACGCAACATCCAGGCCCTCCTCGCCACGCAGTTCTCCGACTTTGGCATGGGCCTGGCTCGGAGCACCAACCTCAAGACGGTGCTCGGCCGCAGCATCTTCGCCGCCGACGGGGCGACGTGGCGGGCCGCGAGAGAGATGATGAGGCCGCTGTTCAACCGCGACAACGTCTCGAGGCTCGACCTCCTGGAGGCGCACATCCAAACGCTGTTCCTCTGCATCGAGAAGGACTTGAACACCACGCCAGATGGTCGCTGGTCCGGTGCCGTAAGCCTCGCCTCGCTGTTCCCTTTTCTCACGCTCGACTCCGCCACGGAGCTGTTCCTCGGCCAGAGCACGTCCACCCTCGAAGCGCGTCTCCGGGGTGACGCCTCCCACATGGGGACGGCATTCAACCACGCGTTCGAGCGCATGCTCACGATCCTCGGCATCCGCATGCGCCTCCGCAGCCTGTACTGGCTCTACGGCACCAAGGAGCTCCAGACCTGCGTCGCGACCCTCCACGCCTTCGTCGACGACGCCATCGCCGCCTCAGACCGCGCTCGGGCCCAGGGCGCCTCCCTGGCGCCGTACGACTTCCTCGACGTCCTGCGCGAGCGCTGCGCCGGCGGAGACGAGGAGGTGAGGGAGCAGGTCCTCGGCCTCCTCGCCGCCGGCCGGGACACGACCGCCTCGCTGATGGGCTGGGCGTGGTACTGCCTCGTCCGTAACCCGCGCGTATTCGCCAAGATCCGCGCCGAGGTCCTCGCGACGTTCGGGCCCGGCGCGTCCCCGGAACGTCCGGACGCCGCCGCCGCGGTGACCTTCGCGTCCCTGAAGCAGTGCGCGTACCTCCAGCACGTCCTCTCCGAGACTCTCCGCCTCCACTCCGTGGTGCCGTTCAACTCGCGCCGCGCGCTGCGCGACACGACCCTCCCCGTGGGCGGCGGGTCCGACGGCGAGAGCCCGGTGTTTGTGCCCGCGGACACCGAGGTCAACTTCAGCACGCATGTCTTGCACCGACGTCCGGACCTCTGGGGCGAGGACGCGGGCGAGTTCGTGCCGGAGCGGTGGGAGAAGAAGAGGGGCGCGGCGGGCGCGGCGTGGCACTTTGTGCCGTTCAACGGCGGGCCGAGGATCTGCATCGGACAACAGCTGGCGTTGACGGAGGCCGGGTACGTGATCGTGAGGATGCTCCAGCGGTACGACGCCGTGGAGGGGTTGGACGTCGATCCGGGCCGGGACTGGCATGACTTCACCGTGGTGTGCAGTCCGGGGAGCCCAGTCGACCGGCACGAGGCGGTGCTCTGTCGGTTGAGGGTTGCCCGGAGGTAGTCTTGATCAGAGTCTCGGTCCGGGGTGATGTTCAAGGTAGTCAATTCACTTAGTTTCCCACTGAGGAGAAACTGCCCAACGGAGACGAAGTGTGTTTCGAAAAGACTGTATAATACGCCAGCTATGAGAGGTTCCACGTGGATATACATACCAACACCGACTGGTGCTAAGGTTTTAACATGTTCCCTTGTCCAAAAGCGACCGTAGGAAGGGCACCAAGTAACAAAGGGTATCGTAAAAGAGCGCCAGAACCATTTACACCATACGAATCCTCGCCCTACCTCACTCAGACATCCTCCCTGGGCTTTACTGGAGGGATCCCCATCACACCATTCAAAGAGCCGACCAATTTGTTATGGAAACTCCACGTGCCTTTACCCACGCCGGCGTCTGTCCTGCCAGATGTGCCGTCGGGTCCATCGCGCAGCTCCCAGCTGCCGTGGCGCTCGTGGTGCGACCCGCGCCTCGATACCGACAGGTCCGGGTCGCTGGCCATCTTCTCGTTGGACCTGAGCCCGCCGAACAACATGGGGATCCGGCTTTCCCGCCGGGGTCTAGGTACCGTCCTCGGCGTCTCCGGTCGCTGAATGCGGAAGCCGCCGAAAAGGATCGCGGCGACGGCGGCCAGGCCCAGGACGGCGAGGGCGATTATTGCGCCGATGATGCCCGCGACGAAGGGCTTCTGCACAGCCGAGCGAATGGCCTCGCCGATGGTGGGCTGGGCGGTTCTCCATTGGCAAAAGGACTGCACCGAGCCGCAGATCTTGCACCACGCCGAGACGTCGACGCCGAAGTTGAGCATCTCCTGCTTGAATCGGCTGTATGGCACGCGGGCTTCGGTGTCGGCGAGGCCGAAGAGGGCGTATTCCTTGAAGGGCGTGTTCGGATCGGCGTTTTCTCTGTACAGAAAACGTACGTAGAGGTTATCCTCGGTCGGGTAGGCGTCGGCGTCGTCGCCGGCGGTATCTGGTATGTCGCCGATGAGCTCAAAGACCATAACCGCACCGTTCTGAGGGATGTTCCAGAAGGTGCTCGGCAAAGTGGGATCGCCCTGATGGAGTCGGGCGAGGGAGAAGAAGGACATAAAGGGTTCGTGGGAGCTGAACATGAGCGTCATTTTGTCGGTGGAACCGGCGTGGTCCCCGTTGGCCCGGAAAGCGTCGACAACCTTCCGGGCCAATGTCCTTCCGGCTATGGTCCGGATCATGTCACCCTTTTGCAGGCCTGAGACTGCCTGGTTGGACGTCATGTTGAGTTGCTGTAGTCTGGCGTACGTCATGAGGAATTCGTTCCGCGATGCGTACCCGTCTTTCATCGCGTCGTAGATGGCCTGCTCGTGTGAGTAGCGGTAGCTGACGTACTGCTGAATGTTGTAGGCGTCCCAAAAGCTCGCGCTGGATAGGGGAACCACGCCGTCATTCAAAGGCGGGGTGCTGAACAACGACAGGTATCCGGGAAGAGAAGCTTCGTCGAGCTTCTTCATGTCGGGGTCGAGCTGCATACCAGTTGTGGTTGAGATCCCCCATTGTGGGCATTCCGTGTTGCCTCGAATGCTATAGTGGCCTTGTCAGTCATCTACACGCCGTTATACGAGGCCATTTAACTTACTCGACGGACCTCTCGTCCGATGATCCCAGGATTTCAATCACTGGGTACTGGTAGCCGTCCAATGGGTACTGAGTCGAGTTCCCGGTCAATGTCGAATAGGAGATGTTGGTCCCACCAGTGTCTGCTGCAAAGGCCTTGGCGATGGGTGGGTACAGGCCCTGCATAAAGGCGTTGGCGCCGGCAACGATGTGGGAGTCGGGGGCCGAAAGGATCGCGAGCTGCTCATGCTCAAGGACGTTTCTCGCCATGCCTTGGATCGGGAAGCGAGAGGTGATGCGGCCCTCGGAGGCGTTCAACATCAGCCTTGCGCTGGTCAGATAGCGCGATCTGAAGGCATCGCCCTGAGCATACAGCTGTTGAGCACCCTGGGGCGTCAAGGTGTTCTGGAGGCCGCCAAGCAGAGGCGTGCGCTCACCGTGCATGACCATCGCGACGGATGCCCATACTGAAGGGTTAGAGGACTGGGCCGACGTTGTCGCCAGCAATGCGCTCGGTAGCAAGATCAACGACGAGGGACCCATGCCGAGGACTGTTTGCAGCGATCAGGTTCACAGGGACGGTGTAGGGCTTTCAAGCACGAGAACCAGGATTGAAAAGAAGACTGAGGTCCGCCAAGAGAGGGGCGTGAGGGGAAGTTCTTTGCTTAAAAGAACAAGACAACTTGCTTGAGACTGAAGATGGGGAGACACGATCTTGTCCCAAGACAGCGGGAGGCCGGTCTACCAAGCTACATAGAATGGCGAGACAACTTACAAAACACCTCAATCCGAAAGGCATCTCACCAGAACGCGTGCTGTAGAGGGGCCATGTAGATGGTAGTAAGACATGTTAAGAAACAGCGCAAAGGAGCAAGTCATACTACAACCGGGGCGTAGGCAGGGCTGCAGCAAGGAACCTAAAGCGTTTGCAGACAAACTAGTGGGAACGGTGATATACGGCCGACATTGACAAACTCAACAAAGCCGGGTAGATGACGAGGCGACAAGAGAAGGACGAACGATCGTGCCGAGCCGAGCCAGAAGAGACGAGAGATCGGTGCGGCGAGTGAGTACACCGGTACGGGAGACCTCCCCGCTTCGTCATCAGACACCAGTTCGAAGATTCCAGACCAATAGGTGATGAGAAAGCCATTCAGCCAGATGGCGCTCAATGGATGAACGGGCGAAGATGCCGCAATCGTCTTTGATTGCCGGGAGATGCTGTGGCGGCACCGGCTAACGTCGATCGGGCGGGGAGGGAGAAACGTCCCGAATCGATGCGGGCAGTAAGACAGACATGAGCTTGATCGTATTTAGCCCAACTCATATGCAGTTAGTCGGCTCAGCCTGGGTAGATAGAGCCCTGTCGACGCAAATGGGATATATGACGGCCACTTCAGGTTCATGGAGGCCGGCAAACTCCGGTGACTGGGAGCATCTTGATATCAAAAAAGAGAGATGGAAAAAGAAGGGAAGCAAATCTTGGTCAAAACAAAACTGCGAGCGGCTAGTTACGTAGAAGAGGTAGAGAAGAAAGAAAAGTGCAGTGAGCTGGAAGCGGACGATAAACAGAGTGATGCAGCTTTGAGCTTCATTTTAGCTCGCGCCACCATCCAAACCCCCGCGGCTGGACCTGTCTAAAATAGGGTTACGCCAAAGTGCTCACATGAGCCTCTTGCGACGGACGGATGAGGAACACTGGCGTCGTCCACCCAATAAGCTTAAGTCCTGTTGATATCTGAAACTGGCGTAGCGGGCTAACAGGAATCTAAGACAGCAAACGAACGCATCGAGGGCAGATCTGCAGCAGAGGGCCGACGGCTCGTTGATGCGACAACCCTCATTCGGCATTCGAGTTGTGGCATCTGGAAGTGTTCTTTGGGAGTGAAAGGTTGCCGCACTTCAGCCTGCAGCCCACGGCCCGGGGGGTTCGACGCAGCTAGCGCGGTGAGGAGGTCCGAGTAGACCACGACGAACGCGTATAGATACTGTAAGCGGGGTTGCAAGGGGATAGCCATGGCGTCTATCGAATGTGAAGTGAAATGAAAAACACCAAGGGTGGCCAATTCTATGCGGCACGCAGGAACGATACGATGTGATAGCTCCTCTTCGTTGGCCCATTCGTGCCCGTGATATAGTTCCAAAACGAATCATCTCGGACCTCATGTTCTGCTACCCTCAGAGCGTTGGGTAGTCCTTGATGGCTGCGGATCCCTTATCCGAGCGACAGCGCGCGCGCCGGTGCCGGACCCTTGGCCGGGACCGCCTCCGAACCGGGCTGGGTCCCGAGATCGCTGGTCCCTGCTCATAGCTCCCCCTTCGGGAACCTCGCGCTTCGAGGAGGAGCAATTGTCACACGATTCATCTCATCGTATCACAACCGCAACAGCTCGAAGAAAGTTTCTCATCCGCAATGGGTTCGATCGAGAAGAGGACATGCGCGTTTGAGCGGGCATAGTTCATCCCGCCCGACGCCATTTTCGACGTCACCAGGCGGTACGTCGCAGACACCAACCCCGACAAGGTCAACCTCGCCCAGGGCACGTATCGCGACGAGGACGGGCAGCCGTGGATTCTGCCGTCGGTGCGGCTGGCCGAGGAATCTCTTGGGACGCCCGGGCACGAGTACCTCCCCATCGCGGGACTGAAGCCCTTCCGGGACGAGGCCGTCAAGCTCGTCTTCGGCGCCACCAAGGCGTATGCAGAGAACCGGGTAAGTCTCGCGCGCGGCGACGACAATCACCGTTTTCCCGGCACGCAGTTGTTGTTCTGACCTTGGACCACCACCACGCAGATCGCGTCGTGCCAGTCGCTCTCGGGCACCGGCGCCCTCCTCTTCGCCGGGCTCGCACTGAAGAAAGCCGCCACGGGGATCACGACCGTCTACATCACCGACCCGACGTGGTCCAACCACGAGCTCCTCTTCAGCTCGCTTGGCTTCGAGGTGCGGCAGCTGCCCTACTACAAGGACCGCGCGTTCGACTTTGACGGCTGCATGGCGGCCCTCGCGTCCGCCGACGCCGCCTCCGCCGTCGTCCTGCACGCCTGCGCGCACAACCACACGGGCTGCGACCCCTCGCCGGAGCAGTGGAAGCGGATCGCCTCCGTCATCGTCGAGCGGGGCGCTTTCCCCGTCTTCGACTCGGCGTACCTCGGCTTCAACTCGGGCTCGGTCGACGATGACGCGTGGGCGATCCGGTACTTCGTCGACGAGCTCGGCCTCGAGGCGGCCGTGTGCCTCTCGTTCGCCAAGAACATGGGCCTGTACGGCGAGCGCGTGGGCGCCGTGACGTTCGTCGCGGGCTCCGCGGACGGGGCCAGGACCGTGGGCTCCGTCTTGGAGAACGTGCAGAGGGCGACCGTGTCCAACCCTCCGGCTCACGGCGCGCGCATCGCCGCCGCCGTGCTGGGCACCCCTTCGATCAGGGAGCAGTGGGCCAAGGATCTCGTCACCATGTCCGGACGCATCCGGGCCATGAGGCAGAAGCTCTACGACGAGCTGGTCCGGCTGCAGACGCCAGGGGCCTGGTCCCATATCGTCAAGCAGAGCGGCATGTTTGGGTACACGGGCATTAGCAAGTCTCAGGTCCAACATCTCGAAGGTTCGTTACACATCAACAGTGTCGCTGGTATCACAAGTCACTGACGCTTTCTTTTTTTCCCTTTCTTTTTTACAGAAAAATATCATGTCTATATGGCCGATACATTACGAATCTCAATCGCGGGGCTCAATGAGAAGAACGTCGAGTACTTTGCAAAGGCACTCGACGATACAGTCCGGAGTGTGGAATGAGGGGCCCTAATGGAATTTTAAGTCAATAGCAATACCCTCCAATGTCAAATCCCGTTTCCAGATCATTATCCATGTTTGAGCATCCAAGATGGCGGCGTAAACAAGCAGTGACAGTCTACGCATAATCACTCAGATCAAGTGATGATGCCGGCGCCGAGGCGGAGCTCTACCTTCGGCATCCCCTTCCGACAGGGACTGACTGACCGACTGACAGATAAGCCGGCGACCCCGCCACACTCGACCTCACTGCGGGGACACTGAGGGGTAGATTCGGCCCGTTATCGCACTGTTGGTCGATTCCCCAGATGACGCGGGAGCTCTTCTCTCTTCCTCCACACCCCCCCCCCCCCAATCGTCTATCGAGATGGCCATGTGGATCATCGCGGCCCAGTGATAGATAGATAGGTACCTTGGTTAGTTTCATGGGCCTCCGAAGAGTCTGCCGAAGGAGCTCTGGTGATGATTTGCGGGTGACTCTCGGAGGCTTGCCGCTTTCGGCTTATCGGTGTTCCTGTGCTTGACTTTATGGAAGCTGTAAAATCGATTCGATGCCAGCTTCATCTTTAGCTACGCTCGTTCCAAATCGATATAACTCATCTTATCGCATTCAATCTCACTGTTTGTTCCTCCAACCCGAGATACCGGGCTCGTAACTTCTCACACCTGCCCAACTCACCAACACATCACGCCGCAGAAAGCCGTCGCCATCATGGGTTCGCTCCCGGGTCCTGTCCAGGGCATCAGAATATCCATCGACCGCGGTGGCACGTTCACGGATGTGAGTATCTGCGTTCTCGGTGGTTCGGGGTCCCCCAGCTGACGTTTCAGTGTGTGGCGTCGGTGCCCGGTCAAGATGATATCCTCGTGAAGTTGCTCTCCGTCGACCCCGGTAACTATCCCGATGCCCCCGTCGAAGCGATCAGGAGAGTCCTGGAAAAGGCGACGGGGAGGGCATACCCAAGGGGCAAGAAGATCTCTCTGAGAGGAGTCGGTCCGTTCACGATCAGTCTGCGACGGTCTATGCTTCCCCATTGCTGAACCGAGTGTCGCAGAGTCCATCAAGATGGGGACAACAGTCGCCACAAACGCCCTACTCGAGAGGAAAGGAGAGCGCACGGTATTCGCCGTCACCAAGGGCCTCAAGGTGAGTCCGCGATCCCCTGGCGCCGCTTCACCAACAGGGGCTAACGCGCGCGTTCAAGGACCTGCTTCACATCGGCAACCAATCGAGGCCGAAGCTCTTCGACCTCGCCATCCGCAAGCCCGACGTGCTCTACTCCAAAGTCATTGAGATTCCGGAACGGGTGACGCTCGAGGCCTGGTCAGAAAATAACAAGCCAGACGTCATTGACGTCTCTTCAGATCCCGCCCTGGTGACGGGCGTCACTGGCGAGGTAGTCCGGGTGTTGGAGCCCTTGGGTAAACTCATCCCCCACCCTCTCCTCCCCTTCTGCTTTGGTCATTCGCACGGAACTGACGGGATTGGGGACAGACCTCGAAGCCTCTAGGAAAGCCCTCCAGGAGGCGTACGACGAAGGCTACCGCTCCATCGCCGTCTGTCTCATGCACAGCTACACCTTCCGCGAGCACGAGGCCGCCGTCGCGGACCTCGCCGCCGACATCGGCTTCACCCACGTCTCCCCCAGCGCGGAGCTGTCGCCGGTCGTCAAGATCGTGCCGCGCGGCAACTCGTCTACGGCGGACGCGTACCTCACCCCCGAGATCAAGCGCTACATCGCCGGGTTCGAGTCCGGGTTCGAGGACCTCGCCACCAGCGGCTGCCGGTGCGAGTTCATGCAGAGCGACGGCGGTCTCGTCGAGTTCTCCGGCCTGTCCGGCCTGAGGGCCATCCTCTCCGGCCCGGCTGGCGGCGTCGTGGGCTACGCGAGGACGTGCTTCGACGAGACGGACAAGACACCCGTCATCGGCTTCGATATGGGCGGGACGAGTACCGACGTCTCAAGGTAACGTGATGGGCTCGACGGATATATCTCGGTGCCGATGGCTGACCGGGACCTTTGTAGATATGCTGGCGAGCTTGAGCAGGTTTTCGAGACAACGACAGCCGGCGTCATGGTCCAGACGCCTCAGCTGGACATCAACACCGTCGCAGCCGGCGGCGGTAGCATCCTCAGCTGGCAGAGCGGCATGTTCAAGGTCGGCCCCGAGAGCGCGTCGGCCCACCCCGGCCCGGCTTGCTATAGGAAGGGCGGCCCCCTGACCGTGACGGATGCCAACGTCGTCCTCGGCCGTGTGCGCCCCGAGTTCTTCCCCAAGATCTTTGGCCTCAACGAGGACCTGCCCCTGGACGTCGACGCCAGCAGACGCCTTTTTGAGGACCTCACGGCGAGCATCAACAAGGACGAGAACACGAACCTCAGCGTGGAGGAAGTAGCCGCGGGGTAAGCACATTCCCACGAGCCCCCCAAATCCTATAGACTAACACACGGCGCCCCTCCCCACAGCTTCCTCGACGTCGCCAACGAGTCCATGTGCCGCCCCATCCGCACCCTCACCGAGGCAAAGGGGTACGACGCCGGCCTTCACAACCTCGCCTCGTTCGGCGGCGCCGGCGGCCAGCACGCCTGCGACATCGCCAAGACGCTGGGCATCTCCCGCGTCCTCGTCCACAAGTACTCCTCCGTCCTCTCCGCGTACGGCATGGCCCTCGCCGACGTCGTCCGCGAGGAGCGCAGCCCCTGCGCGCTGACCTACGACGAGGCCAACCGCGCCGTCTTCGCCGCCGAGCTCGACAAGCTGGTGGCCAAGGCCGGTGACGCCCTGCTGCTGCAGCGCATCCCCCGGGACCGCATCGTTCCGGAGAGGTACCTCAACATGCGCTTCCAGGGCAGCGACACCCCGCTCATGATCCAGGAGACGGCCAGGCCCGGCGGGTACCTCGCGGCGTTCAGGGACGAGCACCAGAAGCAGTTCGGCTTCCTGCCCGTCGGGCGCGAGGTCATCGTCGACGACTACCGCGTGCGGGCCGTCGGCAAGACGACGGTGCAGTTACCCACGCCCTGGCCCGAGGAGCTCGCCTCCGCCGAGGCCGCACCGTCGCCGCCGCCGCCGGCGGCCAAGATCACGAAGCCGGTCTACTTCAAGGGCCTGGGCTGGTCCGAGACGCCAGTCTCATAAAAGGTGTAAGGCCCGCGACGCTTCATATGTGCCTGGCACGCATTGCTTGCGAGTACAAACGGGGCCATTAGCCCTGTCACTTTAGTATGGGTAACGGTACGCCGCCCCGCCGAAAGACAGCGGCCCCAAGATTTAATATTACCCTGGGTCTTAATCAGTATAGGTAATTCCGCTTAGAGTCGTGAACTTGCAAGCAAGCCTGGAAGGGGTTGGGCACGCGCTGACGGGGGGGCTGGTGGAAAACCGTGACACCTCGTTATCGAGTTTTCCTTTCCGGCCGAATGTCGTGCTGGAGACGTGCCCATAATAAGCCGTTGAATTGTCTAAGAGACCATTTTAGTACCTTGGACACGGCATCCGATCCCTTAATACAGGAGAGTGCTGGTGACCAGGGGAGTTGGGGATCCGCATAGATCCATGTGTCTGCTAAAGGAGATATCGGAAGTCGACGCGATTGATCGTTCACCGGAACAAGTGATGGCCTGTTACTCATGTCGACATTTAGCTTCCAGTGTCCAGAGCGCACACCAGGATCGCCGGCCCGGCGCTCGTCATGGACGACAAACAGACCATCGTGGTCATTCCCGGCGCGGCGGCGACGGTGCTCTCCGAGACGGTCGTCGTCGACGTCGCCGTCGGCACCAGGGAGACCATCTCGGCGACGGCCGTCGACCCCATCCAGCTGTCCATCTTCGGGCACCGCTTCATGGGCGTCGCGGAGCAGGCCGGCCGGGCGCTGCAGAAGACGAGCGTCAGCACCAACATCAAGGAGAGGCTCGACTTCTCGTGCACCGTCTTCTCGCCCGACGGCGGGCTCGTGGCCAATGCGCCGCATGTTCCTGCGATGGTAAGTTTCTTTGCGGCCTTATTTTGAGACTCCCCCCCCCCCGAGATATATGGGTCAAGAAAGCTAAGGGAGGGTAGATTGGGAGCATGGCGTATGCCGTCAAGTGGCAGATCGACCACTGGGGCGAAGACCTCAAGCCTGGCGATGTGATCCTGTCCAACGCACCCGGTAAGATCTCACGAACCGCCTTTCTCCCGATATACGTGCTAACAAGCAGTCAAGTCTGTGGCGGCACCCATCTTCCTGATCTCACTGTCATCACTCCCGTCTTCGATGCGGAGGGCAAGAAAATCATGTTCTGGACCGCGTCGAGAGGCCACCACGCTGACGTGAGTATGCACACCATTCTGCTCAGCAGATGCCAGTGGCTAACACCCAACCCCCTTCTCCAGGTCGGCGGCATTCTCCCAGGCTCGATGCCCCCCAACTCCAAGGAGCTCTGGGAAGAAGGCGCCGTGATCAAGGCCTTCAAGGTCGTCGAGGGTGGCGTGTTCAAGGAGAAGGAGCTCATCGATTTGCTGATGGCACCCGCGCACCACCCAGGCTGCTCCGGCACGAGATGCCTGCGCGACAACATCTCGGACATCAAGGCCCAAGCCGCGGCCAACCACCGCGGGAGCCAGCTCATCCACTCCCTGATTGACGACTATGGTCTCGACGTGGTCCAGTTCTACAGTGAGTCTGACTGCCCTTCCACTTCCAGTCGTGCCCACCCCCCCCAATGCGTGTGCTGATTTCCATCGCCAGTGGAGGGAATTCAAGGCGCTGCCGAGCGGGCCGTCCGCGACATGCTCAAGACGATCCACAAGCGCACGGCCGGCAAGCCCCTCTCGGCCGTCGACTACATGGATGACGGCACGCCCATCCAGCTCGAGGTGACGATCGACCCGGCCACGGGCGGGGCCGTCTTCGACTTCAGCGGCACGGGGCCGGAGGCGTACGGCAACTGGAACGCGCCGATCGCCATTTGCAACTCGTCCATCATATTCGCGCTGCGCTGCATGGTCGACGCCGAGATCCCGCTCAACCAGGGCGCCATCCGGCCGGTCGAGGTGCGGGTGCCCGAGGCGTCGCTCCTCCGGCCGACGGAGCACGCCGCCGTGTGCGCGGGCAACGTGCTGACGTCGCAGCGCGTGGTGGACGTCATCTTCCGGGCGTTCGGCGCCGCGGCCGCGAGCCAGGGGTGCATGAACAACCTGACGTTCGGCACCGACGACCCGGACAGCGGGTTCGGCTACTACGAGACCATCTGCGGCGGCGCGGGCGGCGGGCCGACGTGGGACGGCGCCAGCGGCGTGCACACCAACATGACCAACACGCGCATCACGGACCCGGAGTCGCTCGAGAGGCGGTACCCCGTCGTCCTGAGGCGGTTCTGCCTGAGGGAGGGCAGCGGCGGGAGGGGGGCGCACATGGGCGGCGACGGCGTCGTCCGTGACATGGAGTTCGGCATCCCCATCAAGGTCAGCATCCTCAGCGAGCGCCGGGCGTTTGCGCCGTACGGCATGGCCGGCGGCGAGGACGGGCAGAGGGGCCGCAACGTGTGGGTCAAGAAGAGCGGGCGCGTCGTGAACCTCGGCGGGAAGAACACGGCCAGGATGGAGGCCGGCGACCGCATCATCATCATGTCGCCCGGCGGTGGTGGCTACGGAAGGCCCGAGGACAGGGTCGAGGTGGGGGGGAAGCAGCCGAAGGGGTTTGTCGGTGTCGCCAACGGCACGGTCGACATGATCCAGAGCATGGGAGAGTCTGCATAAACCAGGCCGGACGGCGTGGCGCTCAGTGTGTCATTAGGAAACGAATATCATGAGAGAATCGATACGAGGACGCTTGGATATCCCGCCTCTGGACACGGGAGTAAACTCTTCTTTGCGTGTTATCTGGTTGAAGCAGCGCGGGGGAGGGAGTCCTTGCTCACGGGAACGTAAGCCACTATTCAGATACCATCATTGACCACTATTTGAAAAAGGTGAGATTCGTCTACCTGTTCATCACCCCTCGCCAGCGAACCTTGATCGTTCCAGGCCCTTCGCTCGCATCTCCGTCTTCAGACATATGATGGGAAGTGAAAACGCCATGAGAAACGCCATGATCATGACGTAGCCGGGAAAATAGCGGCTTTGAGGTCTTGAAGGCCACCAAAGGAGGGAGGGGGGATCGGTTCACTGGAGAATCAGTTGGCTGGATGTCACAGACTGGTTACTTAGTTGCGAGCTGGCTGATAGATAGATGAAGTTGCTTGGTATCATTCAACGTGGTATTGAAAAGTTACATCGAGGTCATGTACACATTTTGCGCCAGAAGTCCCACCACTGTTCATTATTGTCCTTTTTTCCCCGGCCGATTTTCCCCTTAAAATAGAGGGCCGCCCATACGGATAGCGACAGACTTGTTCTGTGTGTAGTTTGCGAGGGCAGCCTCGCCGAGCTCTCTTCCGATTCCAGACTCCTTGAAGCCTCCAAAGGGGACCTGGTACGTGAGCATGTTATAGCCTGCGAGTTACGGGTGCGATCAGTATTGTGAAAAAATTGCACGATCAGTGGGCATTAGAAAGAGAGACTTACAGTTGACCCAGACGGTGCCGGCCTTGAGGGCGTTGCTCACGCGGATGGCTCTGTTGAGGTTGGTGGTGTGAACGGCGGCGGCGAGGCCGTAGGTGGTGTCGTTGCCGAGCTTGATGACCTCGTCCTCGTCCTTGAACTTGGCAATGGCGCAGACGGGGCCGAAGATCTCCTCCTGCATGATCTTCATGTCGGGGCGGACGTTGCTGAAGATGGTGGGCTGGATAAAGTAGCCCTTGTCGCCGTGGCGGGCACCGCCGGTCTCGACGGTGGCGCCCTCGTCCTTGCCGGCCTTGATGTAGCCCATGATGCGGTCGAACTGCAACTGACTGACCTGGGGGCCCTGGAAGGTCTCGGGGTGGAAGGGGTCGCCGACCTTGTTCTGCTCAGCACGCTTCTTGAAGGCGGCGAGGAACTTGTCGTAGATGCTCTCCTGAACGAAGATGCGGGTGCCGGCGCAGCAGCACTGGCCGTGGTTGTAGTAGATGCCGAAGTTGACCCAGGAGATGGCCTGCTCGATGTCGGCGTCGTCGAAGACGATGTTGGGGGACTTGCCGCCGAGCTCGAGGGTGACCTTCTTGAGGTTTGAGCTGGCGGCGGCCTTCATGATCTGGCGGCCGACGAGGGTGGAGCCGGTGAAAGCGATCTTGTCGACGTCCATGTGGGCGGAGAGGGCGGCGCCAGCGACCTTGCCGAAACCGTTGATGAGGTTGAAGACGCCGGGGGGGAAGCCGGCCTCCTTGACGAGGTTGGCAAAGACGAGGGCGGACAAGGGGGTCTGCTCGGCCGTCTTCATGACGATGGTGTTGCCGGTGGCCAGAGCGGGACCGATCTTCCAGGCGAGCATGAGGAGAGGGAAGTTCCAGGGGATGATCTGGGCGCAGACACCGATCTGGTGGGTTTAGCGGTCAGTCATGATCAGAGGTCCGAAGAGAGACGGAGAGAAGGAGAGAGGGAGAAAGAGAGAGAGAAGAGAAGACAAAGGAGGGTGAGGTCGACTCACGGGCTCGGGGCGGGTGTAGTGGAACATGTCGGGGGCGACGTCAATGGTCTTGCCCTCAATCTTGTCGGCCCAACCGGCGTAGTAACGGATGCAGCCGACGACGGCGGAAACGTCGCCCTTGGCCATGGAGATGGACTTTCCGTTGTCGAGGGATTCGACGGCGGCGAGGAGGTCGGTGTTCTTCTCGGCGAGGTCGGCGAGCTTGCCCATCAGGACGCCGCGCTGGCTGGGGGGGATCTGCCTCCACTCGCCCTCGAAAGCCTTGCGGGCGGCGGCGACGGCGATGTCTACATCCTTCTCAGTGGCCTCGTGCACGGAGGTGATGACCTCCTCGGTGGAGGGGTTAATGACCTCGAAGGTCTGCTTGTCAACACCCTCGACCCACTCATTGTTGATAAACCTGAGAGCAGGAGAAGAAGGCATGTCAGTCTTGGGATCATCGAGAGGGGTGGCAGGGACAAAAGGGTTACGTACAGTCCGGTGGGTTGGGTGTAAGGGCCCGTCGCCGGGGTCTTGAGCTCAACAGACAAACCCATTGTATATGTATGTGTGCGTGGTAGACAGAATAGGGTAATGGTATCAAGGTATCACGAAGAAACAGAAGAGGAGGGTTTGTTGAGTTGAGTGTAAAGAGAGAGAGGGAGAGAAGCAAGTATGGACAGAGAGCTTTTGGGGGGAGGAGCAGACTGTTATAAAGCGGGGTCTGGGGCACAGAGCTCGGGGGTGGGAAGAAGCCCGAGAATGAGACTCGCGAAGACCAAAGACATAAATGTCGGAGAATAGGGTGGACTTGATGCAAGCATCATCTCGGCGGGGGAGGGTGTAGCGGTACAGTTACACCTCATTACCTAAGGTAAGGTACATCGTACATACGTAGTGTAGTGTACCTGTACGGACGGAGGGAGAGAAGGAGGGGACCAGACGAGGGGGTGGGGGGGGGGGCTCTGCACCGAGTACGGATACGCTTCTGTCCTTGTGTAGCACATACAGCACAGCACAGCGCAGCTATCTTCGGCCGTGGGTCGGAGCAAGGTCAAACACGGTCACTTGGTATTAACAATCGTCGAGCTCCCCCACATCGTAGCAGCCAAACAGGTGATGCGAGGGGGGGTTGTTAGTGACGAGGCCCTGCGGTGCTGGTAAAACTGATTAGTATGCACAGACACAATCCCTCCGCCAAGGCGTGGTGGGGCCGAAGCGAAGGGGAGCGCCAGGTTTGGTGGATGGTGGGTGGGGGTGGTGGCAAGAGGGGCAATAATGTTTGCTATGGATCCATACACTACGGATACACTAGCAATATGCATGTCTCTGGTGCACCGACGGGGTGGAGGGGGGGGGGATGAATGGTGGACGCCGCCGCCTCGGGCCAACGCGTGTTCCCCTCGGCCGTTTTGTTGCCGTCCCAAAGGATGAATGAGGTAATGGAGTCCCGATCTCTCTCATTGTGATCTGGAGATGCATACCTAGTGCATCCATCTTATCTGTATGTATTTTCGGTCAATAGCCAACCCTTTCTTTCCATCTTACTGGGTAATGCCTGTTGGACTCGGCTCGAACTCACCTGAACGTGCCACCCTCCATTGGGCTAAAGCGGAATCGAGTTCCACTTGCCCGTTCGGTCATTCCCCGGGCGGGCCCCAGATCAGGTACGCAAACTGCGAAGGTGGTGGAGTATGTATCGTAAAGACCCTTAGATACCTATCTAGGGAATGATAGGTAGTGAAATGAGATTGAACGAGCGCTGGGTTGTCGAGCTGTCACGTGTACTGTAAGATGGACAGTCTTTTTTTTTTTTCTAAGGCTCTCGTGAAAAAATAAAATAAAATACATAAAATAAAAACCCTTCCTTACTCAGCAAGCAAAAAACCTGGAAACCCCTCCCTTCCTTCCACCTTCCCCTCTCCCGCATGGTTCTTGACCCCGCACTTTCTCCATCGAGAGCTGCGTCCTCTCCCAAAGGCACCCCGCCAATCAGACGGCTGTCACAATGCCGCTCCGTCTGCGAGCAGGAGCCACACGGCCGATACAACCAAGATGACAGCTTTTACAAGGTGTACACAGTACTTCATACATAGTACATCTTAGTGCGCATGGAATACCCTCCCCTCTGCCGCGATGCACTATCCCGAGCCACAACCAGAACTGCGTTACCCCAGACTCTTCGGCATGAAGCCAGCCGCCTACCTACACTACGATGGCTCTATTCAGCGTTTTTCTTTCCCTCATCCAACAGCTGCAGTCGGCAAACTCGCAGAGGTCCAAGTATACACTACGTACTTGAAGGCTGACAGGGACACAAATACCGTACCGTAGTACCATACCCGCCCCACATGAATGTACCTGTACCATCTCCAAGTTTTATTCTGAATTGGGGGACTTGTCTCCTAGATATGCTCCCAGGATATCGCTATGTGGCCTTGAGTAAAAAAAAGGCGAAACGAAGTAAATGGGGTTGCGCTATCGTCCTGGAGAGTCCACACTATGCTTTATGCCTCGAGCTCGGCATCAGCATCCTGGAATCATCCTTGTTTGCTCTCCTCTCGGGCTGTCTTTGCTGTTGTTGGCTTGCCGTGCGTGAATCTCGGTACAAAGCCCCGCGAGCGCTCTCTCTCCCCCGCACCAAAAGCGCAGAACATGGTGGGGGTGTCATTTTAGATTTCGGGGGACGTCGATATATCATCCTGCAAACGCCGCCAGCTGCCTTCCTTCCTTCCATCCTGTGTAGGTAGTGTAGGTATCCGTACACTACATAGTAGGTATCTGTAAACTCCGTGCCGTCCCCGATCCGAAACTACCCACCACTCCCCTGCCTCCTCTTCCTTGTCCCCGACATCATTCGACAGCAACAAATCCTCTTGGCCGAAGCTAGTTGCCTACCACATCACTACTCTATTTAGGGGTTGTGTATGTGGGGCCAAAGCTTCGGTCTGATGGCAGTTTCACGGCGATACGGAGCTCTTGTCTCTGCATCTCTCTGCCTCGCTTGCCCGACGTCCTCCAACCCAGCCGGAGCGGACGCCGGCCCAGCGACGTGGGACGCTGCCAGAACCGCCAATCGTGAAAATTCTAATTGTCTGTACAGATGCCGGGCCAGCCATTCGGGGCGAGACCAAGAGCACCTTCATTGTCCACGCGTCACACTCTCCGGCCATGTCAACTGCCTTCCCCAGGTTTCTCCACACCCCATCATTGGTCATGGTGTACTACATAGTACATAGTGCATCGTACGACCCGACCGGTCCTGAACAGGGCAGTTCCAACTCCCAAACATCCAGATCAATTCCGAACGAGATGCTGGGGATGAGCAAACCCCGACTGGATCTGCGTTCGATTGTTCCCGGAGACTACAAAAGCCGAGACACCAATACTGACCGTTCGTTGGCGATACGGATCCGCCCTCGCTTCGTTGCCTGTTGGCCTTCCTCGGCCTTGGGGCGGCCCAGGTGACTTGGCCCGATGGTACCACGCTCATGACCACCAAGGGTCTAGATCGGGGTGGGGTGGTGTGAATCCGTGACTCGTTTAAGGCCCTACTTACTGCCTGTGTATCCTTAATGCCTGCCCGCCTACCGTTGCCCCCAGGATTGGACGCCATTTCCGGCGAGTCCCCCGGGTCCCCCGCATTTGCGGCTCCCTTGCGACGAACCGCTTTCCTTGTTCCCGCGTCGCTGCCAATGCCCGTTAAGCCTCTCGAAGTTTGCGCGGATGCCAATACCGATACCCCCGGAGTACTGCGCATATGCGTCCCACCAAGGTTTCTTCGCGGCACTCTGGCGGCTTCTCCCGCTCGTCAACTTGGAAACCTTCCGAGAGCCAACCGTCGAGACCGTCCGAAGATACCGCTCGCCCGGACTTGTGGGTGCCAGCTACTGTGCTCCCGACTGGCCTGTCCCAAGAGCTGCCAAGGGTAGATGTTTTTGAGAGCCGGGCGCCTTGGAGCGACAAAAGCATGGATAGTTACCACACGAATGTCCCTCCAAATCCTTGGGACATCATCGGATGAAGGCAATTTGACCACTTCGCACACCCTTGCCCGATGAACAAGCTCGCCGAATCGGGCATACGCACCAAGTGCCGCACCAACTTCTCGGCCACCCCTTGCTTTCACAGAGAACCACATATACCGTGATGTACGGTTCCAAACTTATATGTCTACCTAACTCGGGAACATATTCGACGTATTCAACATTCCTGAAAGCCAACTGGCATGGACAAAGCTTCAGCACATTTCGGCTAACTGCAAGGGCCTCGTCGCGACAAGTGAAGATAGCTGCTCCTCACTTTTGACCTGTCGGTCTAGAACATATGTTTTGTGGCAATATAGGCCTTTACGACCACTTATGGAAAATATCGTTAGGTGACATTAGGAACACCAAAGTTTTACCCTACTGCAAAAGATAGCATGAGAAGTATATGCCTGGGTTTATAATCGCTGATCCTACTCCAAGAAAAGGGTATCAATACTCATTGAGGGAACGTACATGTTGGGATGGGCAACGCGAAGGAGACCACGAGCGACTTCATAGCTTCAAGATGTCTGTCTACTGGTGGTATACCAGCGTAGTAGAACAACTCCTCAAACATCAGTGACTGCTTTCCGGTTGTTGAGAAGAACTTTCCGCCATGGAAACATCATGTCCCTTAGACAAGGCCATGGTTGATGCTTAGGACATGTTTCATCAGTACTCGGCCAGATCTCCCAGAGGTACTCAAGCAGAGGAGGGATAGAACAGTAGCATAGAGCACGTTTGGTATACCGACTCGGCCGCGGCGAGGAGCAAAGCATGATAGCAACAATTAACCGTTGCGTGGTTCGGTGCTGCATGTGCTTGCTTGCCATCACTGGCTAACACACATCTGCTGCAAGTCAGATTGGATCTTTCTGCACCCACGTGCGAGTCACAGTGTTGTCGGTATTGCCTTCCAGTTTTCACCTTGGCACCAAGCATTCAAGTAACTGGGCCGCTCGTCGATGTGGCCTCCGGCGGTCGCGACTGGCAGAACCAGTCAGTGACATGTCCCGTTTGATCCCCGGCCGCCAATCTCCCCAGATGGCGGATCTGCCTAGTCCCCAGAGTTGTCGACATGCTGAATCTGGGGAATGACGTCACGCAGGGCAAAAGTGACATGCAACCACCTTTGCAATGGAGCCATTGACGGGTCAAAATACCTGGCCAAGAAAACAGGTGTCAGATACAGACCCATCAGAGACATCAGAAGAGGCTACGTCAGATGGAGTGATAAGACTGAATATCAATTGATGCGGTTGCCTGTCCTCAGGCAGAAACCATTCTGTCGCGAGGAGAGAAAAAGAAAAACCTTCCAGGATGGAAGGAACTCTGTTCACGGAAAAATTGAGGGGTTGGGATGGTTAGTATGGCAAATATGCACCGCCGTCCTGGGCAGGGGACAGTTAAGAGAGAAAGAGAAAAAAAATTGTTGCGATAAAGTGGCAGGAGCGGGGACCCACGCACCGACCATGTCGCATTTTGAGCCAACAGGCCAATCACAGACCGCTCTTTACTGGGAAGCAGCGGTGATTTTTTTTGCAGCGGTCGTTCCTTCCTGTGTATCTGTGGTGACATCTTCTTTGGGGCAGATTATAAGGGCATCGGCGCTCGGATTTTCTTCCCAAAAAGTTTTTCCGCCTCAGTCGAAGAAACCGCAAAGATCACGGCAACCCCCCCCCCCCCCCCTCCGCCATTGAGCTGCACGCCGACCAGTCTGACCCCGAAACCGCTGTCGACGTGCTCCTCAATGCTCATGGAGGGCGCTGAAGAAGCTATTGCAGAGTCGGCCCAGGCCGCAAAGGCCGAGGCGCACTCCCCAACAGGTACGGACGGCCTTTGACTTCCTGCCATCCCACTTGGCGCAAAAAAGAAAAAAAGAAACAGCATCTTCACACGCCCGGCCTCGACCTCAAGTTCGAGCGTCGAGATGCCACGCGGAGAGGACCCTTCTAAAAAGCGTCGCAAAAGATGCTGACTCGCCGTAGTAGGACCGGAGATGAAGCAGGAGTCGCCCACCGTTGCGACCGACCTGGGCGAAACCCCTCCATTCCCACTGAAGCGACCCCGCGATGCGAGCGCAGAAGACCCCGATGCCGAGCCCAAGAGGCTAAAGGTCGACGACGAGGCCCCCTCTCTCGACCTCAACTTCGACATGGACGCCATGATCCAGGGCGTCATGATGGACATCAACAACGAGATGGGCAAGGTCGACGGCCTGGATTCCGTCTCGGACGTCGACATGACGGCCGACGCCTTGGCCTCTGTGTCGCAAGACACCAACCATTCCGTCGAGCCGCACCCCATTATCCTCTCCGAACCCTTGGCCTTGATGAGGCGCACAACCACCTCATGTTTGTCAAACTTTGTACGTGGCGGTCTCGTCAATGTCCGAGGCGCCGCTAATCGTTTTCCCTTGTCCAGGCCATGCAGCTCCTTGTCATCATGTCGCAACACGTCTACGACGATATCTACCGCCAGTTGCAAGACAAGGATACCGAACTCTCAAAGTCCTACAGCACGCTCAAGACCATTTTTCGCCAAACGCGATCGATTTACTCGACGACCGATCTTATCTTGGACCCCGCCGTACTAGATCTGACTGCGCCAGACAACCTGACCGATATCCAAGTCGCGAATCTGGCAAGCTTCTGTTGCGAGCTTTTCGCCTTCGACGGACACCACGATTTGGCCTCGCAACAGCTTCTGGCACTTAAAGACAAGTTTTTCCCCGTCTTCCTGTCTGGCGACGAGAGCGTCTCGCACGACATCTCCGAGCTGTTTGTGGCAGTCAAGACACAACTAGTCATTGAGTCTGTAACAACAGCAGATCAGTCAGCACCAGTTGATCAGTTGATCGCCGAGGCCTTCTCCTCCGATCTCGAAGATAAGCTACGCGCCAGACACGATGGGACCGAGCTTACCCCCGAGGAGAAAGCCATGGTAACGGCTGTGGAGGAGCGTAAAGCGGGCTTGATTGCTTATGCGTCAGGCCTCCCTGATACTGGTTGGTTATCGAATGCTAGTAGTGTCTCTGGAGCAAAGCTGACATACTGCGGGCAGTGCTATTGAAGATCGGCTACCCCGAAGAGGATCTTTTCCGCCTGCTGAACACGTACCTTCGACAGAAGCTACACTCATTGTCAGGACTCGCATCAAGACATGGCATCGAGCTACCGCAGATCCTGACGGACAGCGACTTGGACGCTTCGATGCCTCCTGATCTGGACGACCTGGGCATATCGTCCCTGTTGGAGGCTACGGATGGCCTGGTTGCGCAGTACCTGCCTAGCGATCCCATTGACGGCTTGCCCTCCGAACAACCGCCCGTCCCGACGACCGAAACCAGTGCACCCCCCGCAGAGCCCACCACATCCGCTCCGGAATCCACTCCCTCGGCCGCGCCAGCTCCGAACGGTACCACGACCGAAACCCACGACTCGACAAGCGATATCCTTGCCCTGGTCGCCCAAAGCACACAAGAATACGTCCGTACTACCCTCAACAATCTCTCCCCGGCACCGTATCAACCGACCGTGCCGACGCCGACGGGAGTAGTCCCAGCCACGCAGACGACATATCTGTCGCACCTACAACAGACTCAGCAGCAATCCCCATACTACGGATACCCGCCGCCGGTCGAGCAACCGCCGCAGCCTGCGTCTCACGACAGCAACGAAAAGCTCCCACCTAGCCAGAGCCTGCCCAGCGCCGTGCTGTACGACAGAGCCCGCCAAGCCGCGTTGAGCAAGACCAACAACCAGCAGAGACGGGAGGGTACCACTTCAACAAGACGTCCTTGGACGCAGGAGGAGGAAAAGGCGCTCATGACGGGGCTGGACATGGTTCAGGGACCGCACTGGAGTCAGATCTTGTCGCTCTTCGGCGCCGAGGGCACGCTTTCCAACATACTCAAGGACCGGACCCAGGTGCAGTTGAAGGACAAGGCGCGGAACCTCAAGCTCTTCTTCCTGAAGACGAACTCGGAAATGCCTTACTATCTACAGGCCGTCACTGGCGAGCTCAAGACGCGTGCGCCCACGCAAGCAGCTCGCAAGGAAGCCGAAGAGCGAGCTCGGATGAACTCGGAGGAGGAGCAAGCTCGCGTGCAGGGAATCATGACCCTCGCTGGCGGTCTCCAGCACCCGCAGCAGAACCGCCCGAGTGTCGCGCCGCCGACCGCACCCAGCACCCCTTTACAGTCTGCTGCCCAGATGTCGTCGCACCACATGGCCGCCCACGCCACGACACCGACGCACGCTGCTGCGTCTGCACCACCTGCGACACCGGCCGCCGCCACGCCCACTCACGCCCGAGTGCCGCATGCCTCGTCACCATACGCTGCAACGGCTGCCCAGCTTTCCCACACTCCCCACCACGCCCTCTCGCAGGCGCAAGCGCAAGTGCAGCCGCAAACGCCATCGCACTCTCACATCCAACAACACCACTCTCACCCGGGAACGCCACAACCGCAACATCAGCAACAGCAACCGCAGCAGCCTCAGCAGGAGCATGTTCAGCCGCAGGTCTCTCAAGCCGCAGAGCCCGCGCCACAATACTCGACGGACTCGTCAGCGCCAGTCTACAGCCAAGAGAACGAAGATCTCAAGGAGGCTGCACTCATGCAGAGCCTGCGCGAGCTCGAAGCGTACAGCGGCAGCAGTGCCAGCCTGTCATAGAGTGACAGCCAACTTTTCACGTCGTATCTTGATCAACCCGCCGTCATCAACAACTATCAACATTCGTTTTTCAGCTCCGGTACCGTTTGCCCGCGAACCGGGACTGTCAGTGTTTTTGGAGGACTCGGATGGTTGGAAGACCACCCCATTCCCGATGGCCTTTAGGCGTTGGAGACTTGGCGGCATTGGAATCTAGAAACGTCAACATTGGAACACGGAACAACCCAAGTGAGGAAGATGTACGCAGGACAATGACAACCGGCATGCTGCGTCATCATTCGATTGACTGCGTTCGAAGCCGCCGGATCAGGTGCCTAGGAGAGAGCACCATCCTGGATGCGATTATTCTCTCTCTCACTCTCTCTCACTCACTCTCTCTCTCTCTCTCTCTCTCTCTCTCTATAAGAAGCAGTATTCTTCCTAAGAGGAGTAGCGTTACATACGGAAAGACAGGTTTTGTCATGTGGGCACTGGCATGGGACGAAGAAGAAAAGTAAAGTATAATATACTTGGGAAAAGGGGATGAGGAAGAGGGGAAAGACGCTGGGCGACGGGACGGGAATGGCGGGCGGCACCAAAAAGCGATGTTTTGTTTGCTCATGATACCACGAATGACCGAGGACAAGGCGATTGGGGCGGTGATTCCGCCTTTTTGGTAAGGGGATAGAGAGAAGAAAAAAGACTTACGGCATAGCGATATGGAACAGGAATTCAGAGCATGGTTACTGCAAGGGCCGCGTGGAATTGTTCATTGCCACCCCAAGTGACCAATACTGAAGCGGGCTACGTGTTTTTGTTTTCCTTTGCTACAGACTATCTATCCCGTTCAACCCCAGTGTTTTGCTGAGAAACACTAAAGGTCCGAAACGCCAAAGCAACATGACCGAACCCATAAGAAGATTGTCTTTCTGCACCGTTCCTTCCGTATCCTATGATATAATAGCTGTTCCTTCCACACGCAAGAACCTTTGACGCGTCCTTTCCCTTCCCGTTTGATAGGCCTCACCTCCCCTTCATCCCTTTCTCAACGTCAACTCTCGTCCAAACACTTGGTTCATCATTCACAATCACTTCGCAAAGATCAGGCAGCCCCTTTTGCAAAGCTTTCGACCGGCGACTACGTTGTCTCCTCTACATCACCAATCTCTGGCCTCCTTCAACCTCCCCCCTTGGTCTTCAGTCACCGTTCTACCCTCTCCGACTACCAGTCTAACCTAAATACCATGTCTCGTGCTGCCGACCTTCAAGGATCGCTCCCCGAGCAGGAATCCTTGCATCAGAAGGAAGGAAAAGTTTCCAAGGTAAGACGAAGCTCTGCTCCTCACCGCCGTCTCTCTCCCGTCACTGACATCTCGCAGAAAGAAAAGAAGCGTATTCGGAGAAAACTCAAGATGGATGCGAAGGCCGAGATGATCAAGCAAGAAGACCCCGAGATGGTTAGACAGGAACAGCCCGTCGTCAAGCAAGAGCAAATCGAGCGCTCGGCAGACGCCGACACGGCTATGGACCACGACTCTGAGAGCGAGTGGGAGGGCTTCCCTGACCCGCCCACCTCGCCTACGCACATGAGTGCCGTCGTCTCGCAGTCCAGCGTAGGCAGCAGCGTCGTCGTCGACGAACCGGCGATCGAGGGCAAATTTGGCATCGGCGCGCTGCAGGAAAGCATAGCGCACCAGTTCCCGGGAGAACCCCGTCCGGCTACCCACGTCCTACTGGATCTCCTCGACGGTCCTGCCCTCCGCGGCCTCGCGGCCCCCTCCCGGCCGGGCAACCACACCGTCCACCAGCTCGCCCTCGGGACGCGCCTCTGGTTCGACGATTACAGGGGCAAGCAGATTCGCCTGGGCGTCGTGCGCAAGAACAAAGACCCCGTCATTGACATGTCCGGCGGCCGCCGAAACGGTATCCTCTGGATCCGAGCTATCGAAGCTAGTCCATCCCAGCCGGGACAGAAACCCACCAAGTTTCGGGGAATACAATTTATCACTGCGGATATCCGCCTGTACGAGAAGGAGTCCGCGAAGACGAACGGCGGCATCCACTGAGATGGGGGAGAAGCCGTGAGTGCAGGACGTCTGGCAGTTTGTCAGTCCGGAAGAGGATCCCAAGATTGGGGAGCTGCGAAGCAGTTATGTGGGAGTCTATTATTGAGTGGTCATGTTGCTTCTTTCTGGCAAGCTGAAGCTTTCAGAAAGCGTAGAAATGCCTCACCCCAATGCAAGGACATACACCAAGCTTGAGGCTGTTTGTTTTCCGCCAAACCCCTCCATTTGTCTATGTTAACCCTATTATCTGGCCCGTCTAACCGCATAATTCTCATGAGACTTTCAGGCACTGGCATCAAAGCAATGTTGCGCAATATGACAGCAACATGGTATGTTGCAAGCTTGCTAAACTCCATCAGGTTGCTGTGCTTCTCGGTTCTCTTGTCTGGTCTTTCTGTTTCTTACAATCAAAACCCACAGCAGGGCATCACAATACAAGTCAGCAATTGGTCTCTTGTAAGGCTACGACTTCAACACAACGAAGTGTCCTGCATGCTAAAAACTGTAGCCTCGGCCACGAAGCCCACACCAATGATGACTGATACCCCGCCATGCACTGTCCGGCCACGTGAGCCGCCCCATCGCCCGAGGCATCCGCCCAGCTGTTCGACATGGTGGGGATAATCAACGGACCAATCTTTAGCTAAGTATAAGCAAGGACGGATTCCGAGTCGAGGTTCTCTTCTAGGCACTCTTGACTGTGTCGCCCGGAGAGTCAGAATCGATGTAGTGCCGTGTGCGTTGCCGTCTTGCCAGAGTCGATGAAACAAAGATCGACATGAAGAGGGCGACGGGCTGACAACCTTGTTTATTATAACTCTGCTTAGACACTAGTAGAATTATTTGATGAAAGTGTGCCGTTGAACCCTCTTGTTTGTTTCCCACGGTGGATTGATGAAGAACCGTCCATGGCCCGCCCCTTCAGATATTCCTTTTAATCGTCAGCGAAGAGAATGATGGCCCTCTCTTTTACCCAACATCCTCGTATCTACGACAGAAACGAGGCATTATTCGTCAGATATGTCTTCTTTGGTACGTGCGTGACCTCTGCGGTAATGTTTATCATCCTGTATTCTGGCCTTGTTGCATTCCATTCTTACCGAACGTTTGTAGCCCATTGATCTGTTCGAGGACTGCCTTTAAGCTATCCATGCTAGAGAGGCAGACTTGGCGCACTTGTCCCGTTTATGAGGGAGCCGTGGCGGGTAGTGTCTTTCCGCACATGTCTTTTCCCAAGGGTTAAAATATGGCGCGATGTAAAGCCCATGGGTCAATATAAACCAACGCGGCTCTCCACTCTTGGACTTGGCGAGAGCAATACTGCGTCGAAATCGACACCGCATTTTCTGCCTTTCCTGTCCAGCTCATAAAGTTCATAAGAACACATTGAGGGGGGCCGTCGTAACTAGCAAATGAGTTCAGGGAGGAACGCAAAGGCTGTCGAGAGTTGGAGGTGTGCCGTCCAACGTCTAGTGCTATCCATATCTGATACCTACGTGTCGAAAAAAAAGAAAAAGAAACAGTACACACACTGTACTCGTACTCCCCCTCAACCCCACCAGACCTTCAACGCCCTGGTGACCACCCCGCCATCACCGCCAGACGCGCGCGCAGACTCCACGACGCCATCTCATCCAGCCTTCGCGACCGCACCCACCCGCAACAACATGTCGTCACATCAGCGGTCCTTCTCCCATTCCCAGTCCCAGTCCGGGGCCAAGGAAAAGACCTATTTCGAGCAGCAGCGCGAAGAGCTCATCGGCGAGATTGCCATGGTAGGGGTTCCCCCCACCCAGCGGTGCTGCTACGCGCAGCGTCAACAAAATAAAAGTGCGGACGCTAACAAGAAACACAAAAAACAGAGCTTCGAGCATGTCCTCGCCAACATCAACAAACTGAACCGGTCGCTTGAGGCTGTCATCACAGTACTGTCTCCCGGCGTAACCGGACCAGGCCAACAAGCAGCAGAGCGCTAACTACCATTTACTCCAGGTCGGAAACGAATTCTCCTCCGTCGAGGCGCTGTGGTCGCAGTTCGAGAACGTTATGGCCAAGGAGCCCGAACAGAACAAGGAGGGTGAGGGCAGCGGCGAGGGAGAGACGAGGAACGACGAGAGATCATGATACCCCACGGATTGACATGAGAGCATGATGTTTTTTTGTTTTTGTTTTTCTTCCTTTTTTTCCCCTTGCAGGTTACACTGTTGTCATCTTTCACAACCCCCCCCGACCATGCCGAAGCTCTCTACCGCAACCCCAGACAGCTGGTGAAGGACGTGCGTGGTCTCTCGGCCGACTTGCACATCTCCCAGGACTTCCTCCTCTCCTTCTCTTCCTTCTTCTTCTCGTGTTTCTGGATCGTAATGCCTCTCGCCAGGTCCTTGACGCCAAGCACCAAATCCCCAGAGCCGGATTTCTGGAGGGCGCTCAACCTCGCCGCGATGCCGAGGCACCTGTCCCCCACCGCCCGCAGAGGCTCCTCCTTGTCCCGCAACTCGGATCTGAGCTTCGAAAGCTTCGACCGGAAAACCCCCATACGGATTCCCAGCTTGGCGACGAGCGATCTCTCAGCTTTGGGCGTTGTGCCGTCGCGTTGGAGCCGGAGGGACTCGACCTTGGCCTGCTGCTTCTCCGCATTGTGCGCAGCCCAGTGAGTCTCCTGCTCCAGGTGCGTAATCTCCGCGTCGCTGCGCTCGATCAAAAGGCCTATTACCGTGGTATGTCTGCCGGCGGCTATGTCAGGAAACAGAGATGTGGGGTAATCTTCTCCGGCAGCCTGCTGCATCTCCAACTTCTCCTTCTTCGCCCTCGCCTCTTGCTCCCGCTCGCGATGCTTTGCGAGCGTCAGGGTCCTGTTGGACCATATCTTCAGTCCCATTTCGATCTTGTCGTCTAGGGCCCTCTGTTTGCGTTCTTGAAAGGCGTTGACCTCATCGATGGAGCCGAGCACCTGCCTGGCGTCATCCCCGAGCTTCTTGGCCCTCTCGCCGAGCTCTGCCAGCGGCCGGACGGCATCCTGGTACCGCTTGACGACTTTTTCATACGTGTCCCGGGCTATCCCAACATGCCTTCGCAGCATGTCGCACTTCTTGGAGTGTTTGAAAGGGTGGCACAGCTTCCAAAGCGTGCCTTTGATGTCCCGATGGGCCGAAGCAACGAGCAGACTATCGGCTACTTCCAGACCAGCGAGACATCTGTCGACGGCGTCTTCATCAAGGGCCTTGTGCTCTTTAGTCAATGCAGCAAGCGCCTGCTCCAACCGTTGCATTCGGTGGTCGATAGCAGCGACGGACGGGACCAGTGTGGTGGACCGGCGGGTGCCGTCCGTGAGAAGACGATTAGTCCGCGGGAGATCGGCGACGTAAATCTGGGCGGACGGTTCCATGATGCGCGAAGGATCGGCAGATGCTCTTTTATAAATAGAGTTGTTAATGGCAACCCTAGTTCTCGAGTGTGTGCAGTGTATGCTTCGCAGTAGAAATTGAAAGCGGAATTAGATTGCGAGAATCCCATTGCTATCTATGGCCTTCCGTGCCGCCTTTCTCCGATGGGGGGGGGGAAGGGGTTCACTCTCTCTACTTACCTGGACGGACACTTTTGGCTGCCACGGGCGCGGCTGCACTTCTACCGAGACAACTACAAGCTCGGAAAGCCGACGACGGTCTAACGAATCACTATCGCTCATTTTCACTTATCAAACTGCGGGAATGTGGGACATTTGGTTTTGATGCTTTTAACATTTCATGTTTCCTGCCTCCTTTGGACTGCCTATCAAGACAGAAAACCCAATGCTGCTACAGGAGAGGGAGAAGAAGAATAAGAAGAAAAAGAAAAAGAAGAACAAGAAAATGGGAAAATAAGAAAAATCATCCCAGGGAGACCTGGAAGTTACCCGAGGAATAGAGAAACTGGTCAAAGCCTTCGCTCCCCCCCTGTTTCCCGCTCCATTTGTGTGTTGTGTGTGTGTGTGTGTTTGTGTTTGTTTTGTTTCAAGGAAAAAGGGTATGGATGAGCCTCGAGACTCCAATGAGAATACCACTCACTTTCCCTCCCACTCCTCCTTTGTTTTCCCGCCCCCTATATACCAATCCTTCTCCTCCGTCGGGGAGAAGAAGAAAAACAACAGTTTCCACGTCCCCCGGTCTAGAGTTCGTCCAGCCCCTAGAACAGGAGACGCCGCTCGCTAATGGTGGCGCATGCTTTCTCCAGATCGTAATAGTAGCAGGTCGTAACGAGATCATGCAGATAAAACAAAAGTCATTCATTACGCCCCCCGCCTGTGTCCAATGCCTGGTCGTTACAACCCCGAGATCCTCAGCGAGGACCTCAAAGGATCTTGCAATTCCTCTTCTTCTTCTTCTTAAGAGCGATGCCATGGAAGCCTGCGCTGCTTCCTGGTGGGCCGCCGGATGATGAAGGGACGGCGGCTTGAGCCTCCATGTTTTTCCGGTCGTTAGCCACGACAGTCAGGATGGCTTGTTCAAAGATCTCGTCGACGCCCGTCATCTCCTTGCTGCTGCACTCCACGTACTGGGCGCCCATCTTTCGCGCCACGGCCCGACCTTGCTCCTGAGTGACGGGTGTGAGGCCTTGTGTCTTGAGCATGTCGATGCACGTCTTCTTGAAGCGGAGGTCGGATTTAAGGCCAACAAGAACGAGAGGGGTGTAAGGACAGAAGTGTAGGACTTCGGGATACCACTGGAGACGAATGGAAGTCAGCATTAGCGCCAGAAATGTCCGCCTCCTTGTTATCGGAGGAGCGGTGACTGAAGTTACCTTGTCCATGACGTTTTCTAGCGAGTTGGGGCAATCAATCGCAAAACAGACAAAAATCAGGTCGGTCTCGGGGTACGAGAGCGGTCGCAATCGGTCGTACTCCTCCTGGCCGGCCGTATCCCACAGCGCCAACTCTACGGTCTTACCAGACGGCGGGTGTGTCGGGTACGTGATGTAGTTCTCGAATACGGTAGGGACATATTTCTGTTGTCGATCAGAGTCAGCAAGCACTGTTTTGGTTCATCTCAAGGACTCGCGAACGACGCTCACGCAGCGCCAGCTGCCGCCGCCGCCGCCGCCGCCGCCTGGAGAGTCTGAGCGGGCGGAGGAGGAAGGAGCTCACCTCTGGGAAATAGCCTTGGCTGTAGCTGATGAGAAGACATGTCTTGCCGCAACCACCGTCGCCGACAACGACAATCTTCTTGGAGTAGGCAGGGCCTTCGGTGACGTGGGTGGCGGCGCTCTCGCGGCCTGTGGAAGAGCTCATGGTGGTGCTGACGGTGCCGTCGCTGCTCCTAAGGCGGGTGTTGCGGCGGGATGTGGCCGGGCGTCCCAGGCCGTCGTCGTACTTTTCGCTGATGTTTTGGGAGGGGCTGTGGTATGAGTTGCGATACTGGTATGAGGACGCCATAATGCGGCAGACTCTAAGTGGTGTGTGTTGTGTTGGTGCGCGGTGACGGCGAGGTCGTTTCGCTGCGCGTCCCCCCTCGCGTGTGTTTGCGAGATGAGTATGAGTTGGTGTGTAATTACCGTGGGTCGGTGCGTTGGCTCGTATGGGGGAAGGAGGAGGGGGGGGAGGGGTTGTTGGGGAGACCTGAGTGGTTTGTGCTTTTATGCGATGTTATTCCCCGTTTGTCTAGATGCTAGCGTATCTTGGTTTGCGACGAGAGATGCTGGTATGGCTGCTGAGGTTGGGCGCCTCTCTCCTAGACCAGATTTCGTGCTCTCAGCAGCTAGATGCTGTTGCTGCTCTCTGATGGTGATTTTGAGTGTGATGCCGTTGAGATATGGTTCGGATGAGAGGCACGCGATGCGGGTGGCTTGAATAGAGGAATGTTGAAGAAGGGCTTTGCTTGCGTATTGTATTGTGTATTGTATTGTATGGGGGTGGGTTTGTGTGGTGAGGTGGATGGGCGGGTTGTATTCTTGAGGAGAAGGGACGGGGGAGCAAGGAGGGCAAGTGTAAACAAGTCGACGGGGCAACCAGCCACTTCTTGCCGGGGTGATGACGGCAGGCGCCAAGGGGCGCCACAGCGATAATACACGTACTATCGTACAGGTACAAAAACCGGGGCGCGCCAACATGGATGAACTACCTATCAACTGACATCCCTGGCGGTTGGCCTGGACCAGGGCCAAAAACCTGGCGGCCCCCTGCAGTCCGAAAACAGGAAGCTACGAGGTACGCACCTACGTGATAATACGTAGGTAATCAGTTTTTCCGGCGCGCGCCTGCCTTGCTTCCGGCCGCCGGACGGGATAATCGATATGTGGCCCGAGCTCCAAACCCCACCACCGCCTCCCTCAAAACCGCGACTTGAATTTTTCGTTCCTCGGCGATTTTTTTCATTAGACGAACGCGTCAAAGATCTTGACAAGAAGGAACGCTTCCATCCCCCTCCCACGAGCGAGCAAGCAAGCAAGCAAGGGAAACGAGGAGGGGCTTCGTCATTTGCGCGCAAAGTTACGCATCCCGCAATCAGAATTCCACTGGCTTTCAGCTCCTTCGCCTGCTTCAGCCGCCACCATGGATGCCAACGGCGCGACCGAGAGCAAGTACGTGACTCTGGTCTCGAGTGACGGCTACGAGTTCGTCGTCTTGCGCGAGGCCGCCATGATCAGCCCGGCCATCAAGGGCATGCTCGACACCAGGAACAACTTCCGCGAGGCTGCCCTGGGCCGCTGCGTCTTTGAGGAGATCAGGTAAGCTCGACGACTCTCATCCCTCCTTTTCTCATCATCACAAATCACGCCCCCCCATCCGCTGGCTTGTTGCTATGATGAACTACGATTATTTCGCTGTGTTCTTACTGACAGACCGCCGCTACAACGGCCGGTCTGCTTGATTGCCAAACTACACTTGATCTGAAACAAGCGCAACATTTCTTATTCGTCATCTTCCTTTTTCTTTTTTCTTCTTCTGCCGACCCCTCCTTGTTCCAAGAGTTCTGGAAGCATCTGACCGTTCGTCCTCGGTAGTGGCGTTGTGCTCGAAAAAGTATGCGAGTATTTCCAATACTGGTACCGCTACCGCGAGCGAGAGGATGTCCCCGATATGGACATTCCGGTCGAGCTGTGTCTGGAATTGCTGGTCGCAGCCGACTACCTGGGCCTAGATAGTAAGACAACCTCCCAGCCTTCCTATTCACTCCCCAGAGTGACGAGGAGGGGTTTGCCACACAGGGACGGCATTTCTGACGCGCTTTTTCCCACCCCTTCCAGAGCAAAACACCGGCACCGTCTGATGACCATGAGCACATGAACCCTTTTCGGGGTCTATCATTTTTATGACGCGGAGTTCAAGCGTTTTGAGCATCATTGTTGGCCAACGGGACACAGATGCCTTTTGCTATCATGACACCATGACAAAATGCCATTGCACAACAGGCATTATTCTTGCTCGTTTTCCTCTTTACCATCTGACGGCGACCCATGTTGCTACCCCACACGTGGAAGAGAAGAAAAAAAACCACATACCATATACCCTCCCCATCTTAGCATATGCGTTCCTCTCTCACTCTTCCGTGGGTTGAACGTCTATTAAAGATGGAAGATTGACTCTATTCCACTCACTCTGCTTGACTCAACTTTCTACCATTGAGATCTACGCTTTTTCTGTTGGGATACATGCTTGCACGCGCTAGTATAGCTGGTGGGGTGTCAATACAAATCTCTTTTCCGCCGTCTTTTTAATGCTCCAGTCGTGAACGTGAACGATGACCCTGGCGACTCACAATCTATCTAGTAGCTGTGATTAATACCGATTTGGACACGAGCTCAGTGGTAATCTCTAGGCAAGCCCCATACTCCATCAGCCGCAGCTCACATGGTCGTAATGTAATCAGTGCCAACCTCTGCCCCGGCCTCTGCCCCCTCCTCTGCCACGTCCCCGACCACCCCGTCCTCCCCCCCGATGGAACCCCCTACCGCCGCCGCCGCCGCCGCCGCCCCGGTGCCCCCTGAACTCGCCAGCAGGCGGCCCCCTCGCCCTCCTCTCCATCCTCTCCTCGTCGCTGGCGTCCCACAGGTTCCTCAACCCCAGCAGCTCGCAGAACGCCGACGTCTGCGGGTTCGTGTACTCGAACGGCTGGTGCGCCACCGACTCGGGCGCGCCCTCGACGTGCGGCGGCGCCGTCACGGCGAAGTTGAGCGGCACGTCCAGCCCGCCGTCCTTGGCGGCGACGACGTTCTCCTCGACCCACCGGCGCTCCGCGTCGATGAGCGGCGCGTAGTGCTCCTCGCCCAGGTCCGGGCTCGGCTGCGCCGACGGGTCGCCGATCGAGAGCGACGCGTGGAACACGCGCGTGATGGCGAGCCACTCCGGGTCGTACTGCAGGCGGAACGGGCGCGCGGGCGCGGGCTGGTCCGCGGGCGGCACGTTGTGCGGCCGCGCCTCGAGGAGCTGGAGGAAGTGGCGTCTGGGCAGGCACTTGTCGAGGGCGAGGAAGTTGACCTGTTTGTTCGTGATTGTCGGGGGAACGGGCTGGCCCGGCGTTCTCTTGGGCTGCGGCGGGGGACGCATGAAGGAGGCGGGAAGTTGGGCTCGGAGCTCGTCGGGAACAGAGGTTTTGGCCGTAGACTTTTCCTTGCTCGTCGCCTCCTTGGGGGTGCTGCCGGGCTGCTCCTCGTCGTCGTCGTCGTCGAGGCTGATCTCGTTCGGGTTCGCCTGTGCCGGAGCAGGAGCATCTGTGATCTCCTCGTCGCCGTCGATATCGATTTCGTCCGGGTTATCGGGCGCAATCACCGGCCCGTGTGCCGGGGCGGGTGTCGCCTCCTCGACCGCAGCCGGAGCGGTCTCGGTCGCGTTTGGCTCCTTGTCCTTGTAAATTTTCAACGCGGCAAACTTGCAGTGCAGATGCGCCGAGAACCAGTAGGGCGGCCTCAAGCGGTCGCACACATATTCCGCCGCGACGTTTCCCAGCGTGCCGTCCTTTGACTCCCTCTCGAAGTCGGGCTTCATCCTCCACAGTGCCTTCTCGTCGCCCCACCTCTCAATCGCCCTGGGCCAGTCGTGGCTGATTCCCACGTCGACCTGCTCTCTCACCAAGAGGAGCTTCCTCACGTCCACCTCTCTGACGTGGTAGAAGCTCTTGATCTCGTCCGGCCCCATCGGCAGCCGCTCGTGGTGCGCCTTGCGGTAGTCGAAGCCCTTCCAGATGCCGCTCATGCCGGCGATCCGCAGCGGGCCCAGGCGCAGCACGTTGGCGGCGCCCAGGTAGTAGATGTTGGGCGCGGCCCAGCCGCCGTAAAAGAGCTCCCACATGTGGCTCGCCGCCTCGTGGTTCCCGCCCGTGAAGATGGTCAGGTAGGGCGCCGTGCGTCGTCCGGCATAGTACTCCCAGAAGTCGCCCAGCTCGCGGTACTTTGCGGGGACGGACATGACGCTGAGGTCGGCGGCGTTGCGGGCGGCCTGGAAGTCGCCGCCGATGATGAGGAGATCGACGCCCTCCCAGCCGCGGGCCTCGCAAGAGGCCGCGACGGCGGCGTAGATTGCATTGAGGGTGCCGTGGCCCTGGCGCACTGTTAGTAGATGAACCCGAGGGTACGTTTGTAGCGAACATGGCTGGACTTACGCAGCCCTCGACGGCAATTCGGACACCGTTGGTCTCGAGCGTCTGCGTGGCCATTTTGATGGCTGGGGGGTGGACGAACGGGGGTTCTGTTGTTGTGTGGCGGAGGTTGAGTGCGATTCGGACTGCGACCGCGAAATTTTCCTACAGGGCCGCTCAATGAGTGAGTATAAGATGATACCTGAACTGTCATGCCTCAGCCACCACAAGGGGTCGATGACTTCATTGAATAATTGAACATGAAACCAGATTGAATTGCGTTTAGTTGGTCTTGTAATTCAAGTTTATGAAAATCGCAGAATTTTGAAGTGCATTCATCGACCCACCTCGCACACTACACTCAACCCGACCACTGGCTGATTGTTTTTCATGATAGAAATCATTGAGTTGAGCTGATCCGCTAATTCTAATATCTACAGCTGCTCGTAGAATTCAAGCAGTTTCTTCGCACCGATCTCCCACATCGCATCGTTCTGCAAATGATGTCCGGCGCCTGGTACCCAGGCAAGCCTGACCCCGCCGCCCTCATCGTCGTCGTCGCCCTCGCCATCGAGAGGCTTAACTACTTCAACCTTTGCGTCCAGCTTCTTACCACCCACAAGGTCTGCAAATTCCTTTCTGTAGAGCGCGGCCAGGTTTGACATGACATCTCTTGTCATCATCTTGTCCTGAGTGCCGGCTAACACCATGATGCGCTCGCCGCTGCCCCGGCTAGCGATGGAGCCGATAATGTTAGCAGCCGAGCTGAAGGGCCTCATCATACTGATGGGCCAGAGGAAGGACTCGTAGCGGTTCACGTGCTTCTGGAACTCGAGGGCGGCGGATTCTGGCATCTGGTCGCCGAAGAAGGCTTGCTTGACCAGGAAGGGGTGGGAAAGGGGTGAGTTGGGGTGCCAGCCGTGGAACAGCATGCGGACGGCAAACCACGGGTCAAACATTGCCCAGTTGGCGTATACTCCATAACTGTGACTCGTCAGCTACGGCAAGAGTATGGACTTCCTCGTGTGATGCTCACGATCCGAAGGCCGGTACAGCTCCAAGCAGCGCAAGGCCCTTTACACGGGCTTGCCTTGCCGAGAGGATGCCCTGGCTCAAACCGCCGCCGCTCGAGTGTCCCACGAGCATGACTTCGCTTCCTTGGCGCTCCCGAACCCATTTTATGGCCGCAACGGCATCATCGGCCAGGTTTCTTCTGGTGGTCAAGTACACCATCCGGAAGTATGAGGGGTGCCAGCTGTTACCATGCCCTCTCAGGGAGACAGCATAACACGGTATGTCGTGCCTGGCAAAATACTGCATATACTCGGACCACACCCATGCGCTGCCCATGCCGCCATGAATGAAGAATATGGGCGTTTTTGACATAGTCGGGTTGGCACCCTGGTTCGAAAGAACCTCGATTCTGCCTGATGGCGTCTCTACCCAGTATCTTGTGAGGCCCTTGGGGGCAGCGGGCGGTTCACCAGTGGGTGCGGTCCAGTAGAGCCACTGGTAAGTCAGTTTGAAATCGAGTAAACCCATGTCTGAGACGGCTGTGCTATGAGTATGAGTGGCCTGCAAGATGTAAAGTACGAGTTTTCGAAATGACAAGGTTATTCTTGACCTCGCCAAGGGTTCAGTTGGATAGCTTCGATGAGGACACACTGGCGGCCGGGGAGCTTCATGACCTTTTATCCCATTCCAAGACCTGGGGGCGCTGAGACGCGAATACTTAGAGACGCCGTGTAAGCCACAAGCTGCAAAGGGCAGCGTGGAAGCATGTTGCGGTGTTGTTCCCGAGCCGTTTTCGAGAGTAAGGACTCATCACGGGACTTTCAGGAACGGCACGACCACCTGGTCCATGTAACCATGGCGCCCGTTGCGGCCGCCAATTGGACAATTGACGCCTGCATGGATGCTAGCCACCACACACGGGCTGAAACTGTAAGCCTTGGCTCATGGACTCAAGAAGTCGGAATCTTGAGGGCGTCGGCAACTTTTCTTTTATTGCTCGTGACCTCCAGATTTGAGTCACCGTGTCCGCGGTGCGGTTTAGTCATGTAACGAGTGCGCGTCGAGCACGGTTGGGTTTAACATGACCGTCCAAAGGTTCCGCTCGCAAATGCCAGTTATCTCAACTCAGCGCCGATGTAATTTTCCTCCTCCCCTTCGTCGGCGATCCGAGGTAACTTCCCGGCTAGCATCTTTCGACTCGTCGCGATAGCCTCAAGAAGGCTATTCGGGGCGAAGAGGCGAGACGACGATGATGCAGGACGAAGGGGACAACCGCACTTGGGCCGGCGACCCCCAGATTTTTGGGTTGCATCGCCCAGCCGTACCTTATAGTGGGAACCCGATGATTTTCCGACAGCCTCACCACACCCACACACTGTAAGCAACCCCCCAGTGCACTGTGCCCGCCTAAAAATTGTCAGTCTTTCCCGGACCAGACACCACCCCCCAAAGGAGGAGCCTCGCGATCGCAGCCTCGACCGCGCAAATCCATCTTTCCACCATCCACACATTACATGGGCAGTTTCTCTCCCTCGAATCGCCCACCATGAGCGTATGTCACCACCCGTACACTCCTTCACTCACCTCTCTTAATCATCGTGATGGAAGCTGACCAGATCCTTTCGCGCAGTTCGTGCCCATTAACCCGCGGCCTATGCTGCAAGACCTGTATGTCCTTTCCCGGCGGGAACGCGACCTCACGCCGCGCATCCCAGCCCCCCTCCCCCCTATCGCGAACGACAATGAGCAACCCGCTAATATCTCTTCCCCTCTCTCTTTAGTGTCAACCAGGATGTCGTTATCAGACTCAAGTGGGGCGAGACCGAGTACAAGGGCAAGTTGGTCAGCATCGACAGCTACATGAACGTCCAGCTCAGCGGCGCCGAGGAGTACATTGACCAGAAGATGACGGGAGCTCTCGGCCAAGTTCTGATCCGGTACGCAGACCCGGCCCTTCTCGCAGACCTCCTTCATGGACAACTGGCTGACGCGCTAACAGGTGTAACAACGTCCTCTGGATCCGCGGCGCGAAACAAGGCGAGAACGGCGACGTCAGTATGGATGGTTGAGCAGGACGATTGAACGAGCGGAAGCATCAACACAGCCTCGGCCACCACCAACCCCAACCCCCCCGCTTTCGTACTCTGGTATGGTGGTCAAGAAAGAAGGGAGAGGAGGATGCGATTTTCACAGGAAAGGTTTGGAGCATGGACGACGACGACAGACATCAAGTTCAAACAGGACCAACAGAAAGCAAGAAAAAAAAAAGCCGTCGACAATGGATTCGCAGTTCCATTTCCAGGTTGAATACCCGCCCACCCCAGGCCGCGCTGCAGCGTAAAGGAAAATCATATGTCTCCCTCCGCAGCAAACTATAGAGAAGAAGAAGAAAAAGGAAGGTCGCGACATCTCGGGCGCCTTCCGTGCCGTTTCCTCCAGTTTAAACTAGCTACCACATTCGCAGATACTTACATAAGACAAGCAACCTTGCGACTACTGCAGAGATCCGATGACGCCACCTTGATGCGCTGTGTCTCGCTAACCCATGTGTACGCTTCGATAAGCCACTCGTACCACACCCGCGAATCGTCCGTCTGTCGCCACATCGTGACCTCCAGCTCCGTGTCGGCGGGGTAGTAGATGGGTTGCTGTGAATATTAGTGACCCAATCAAAAAGAAGAAGAAAAGGGGCAAAGAAAAGAAAAAGTTGAAAAAAAAAAACCACTTTCAAGCAGGAATCATCGGGACGCCGCTCACCTTGATGGGGAAAAAGATGGGGAACCACGAAATCATGTCCTTGCTCTTGCGGTCGATCAACTCGGGGTGCGTGCTGATCTCCACCTTTTCCTTGTTGCCGGTCTGTGGCGCGTAGAGGACCGACTCGAAGTAGCCGGCCAAGCCGTGGATGACACCCCTCGTGCGGCAGACGAAGGTGAGATGGGCGAAGCGCGAGTTGTGGTCGTTGGCACCGACGGCACCGGCCATGCTTCCGCCTCCGCCGCCCATGACGCCGCCGGCGCGCCTCGTCTCGATCTGCTTCAGCGTAGCCTCGGGCACGGGGTGGGAGAACTCCCACGTCTGCTGGAAGCGGGGGTGGTCGGGCACGCGGACGGCGGCGAAGTCGAGGGCGAAGAGACGCACAACCCAGGGGGTGTCGAAGGCGTTGGGCTCCGTCGGCACCCTGGTGAGGAGGTCGGCGTGGATGCGCGGCGTCGCAATGGGGCTCAGGTGCGCCGTGTACGACTCTGGGATGGAGATTCCGCCGGGGGCCAGGACGTGCTGGACGCCGTCCAGGCACTCGGGGGATAGCTCGTTGTCGGCAAAGGAGCCGAGGAGCTCCGACACGAGGATGTCGACCTTGCCGTAGACGGGGTTGTTGTCGGGCGTGCCGGAGATGAGAGGACCCTTCCACGAACGCATGTCCGTCTTGACGACCGTGACCTTGCCGCCCCAGATCATTTCGTTCTGTCTCAGGAGGTAGACGTAAGCGTTGGGGTTCTTCTCGACGGCCCAGACCTGGACGGGTACGCCCGTCGCCTCGCTGGCCTTGAGGGCCCTCGTTACGAGTGGTCCACGGCCAGAGCCGACAACGGCGATGACAACGGCGCCGTTCTGCGAAGAGGTGGCCCGGCCCAGCTGGCGCCACTCGGCCAGCGCCTCGGTGCAGGCGGCCTCGTACTGGTTGTACTTGACCGGGTCTCCCTCAAAGACCTCATACGTGGCCGACTCGAGGTTGTCGGACAAGGGCTGCAGGGGCGACTGAAGCCAGTCTTGGAAGCTCGTGAGCGTCGTCTGTTCCAGGTACGACAGCGGTCGCTGCTGCGTCTCGAGCCACTTGAGGTAGGCGGCGTAAGCGCGGAAAGACTTGAGCGAGTCTTTCGTCAGCTGGGCCGACGAGTCGCCCAGAGCAGGGAAGTCGGCGGCAGTAGGGAGGGCCTGGTTCGTCAGGCTGACGGCCTGGAGCTGGGCTTCGGCGGTCAAGGAGGCAGGGTCCGGGCCAACGTCGCTGAGCAGAAGCCAGGGGGAGTTCTTCAGGCGCATGTAGTTGAAAATCATGTCCTGGTGGGCTCTGGGCAGGGCAGGGTGGCCGGTCTTGTTCTTCTGGAAGGTGTTTCCGCCAAGAGACAGGAAGTGCAGGGGCTCGGCAAACCACCTGTCCTGGAGCGCCTTCTCAGGCAGGGCTCTAGGAATACGGATGGCTATTGGAATTAGCGGCCACATATCGTGCATGACACAGAGGTTATATCTTACCGACGTAGAGACGCATGCTGTATTCACACATGGTGCGGACGGAATGCCAAGAGTCCCAGGTGCTGTAGATGTCAATCTCCCTGCTCTCCTCAGGGTGAGGCAGCTCAGACAGGGTGGAGAGCAGCTCGGCCGTCTCCTCCAGACCAGGCTCGCGGTACATGGGAATGTGGATGATGAAGTTGAGGCGCGAGGCAATGGTCATGGCCTCCTGGACAGCTCGGCCGTACTGGGCGATGCCCTGATTTCCTCCATTCTTGGATGCGTCTCTCCTGGGGCCGGGAACGACGATGCTTCGGACGCCGCAGAAATTGGCATAGGCAATTTCGAGGTTGAGGACCTGCCTTGAGACGCTGGCGACGACAGGGTCGGTCGAGGCCAAATCGATCCAGGGGCTGGCGTAAGCGATGTAAGTGGTGACTGCATGGCTGGGGAAGAGAGAGGTGTCCTTGGGGGTCAAAGGGGGAACAACGGCATCTGCCAAAGAACCGGCATTTTGCTTTGCCTTTGCGAGGTGTTGAGAGACGAGGTCCTTGACACGAGCATGGAAGTGCTTGTTGGTGATGGGTGCTGTCACGAAGTTGACCTGAAGTGGGGGGTTTGTGAGTGAGCGAGTGAGAGGGAGAGAGGGGAAATTCAGGGTCAAGGGTCACTTACACCGGTGTTCAGGATCTGGCCATACTGGAGGTCATCTAGGGGCTGATCTCTGTTGGAATCATGCTGACCGAGGCTGAAAATAGGCCTGATTTGGTTGATATTGGCGCCGTCCATGGTTGACTCGGGCACTTTGAGAGAGTGGTGTAAATGCTCGGCGCACAAATCACACACAACGAGGGGGAGTGGGGGGTTATGCAAAAAGCAGCACCTGTCGGGTTGAAACCTGGTGCTTCGGCAAGGAAGAAACAGAGAAGAGAGAAAGAAAGAGCGACGTGATCAGCACTTCATGCTTGACGGGCTGCTCGTCAAGTCTAGAAATATTTCAGAAATAAGAGACGAAAAGGGTGTATTTGGGGTCACTGTCAACCCGATGTTTGTGTGATCTGACAAGACAGGCCCGTGTGGTTCCCACCCCGAAAGGCAAAAATGCACCAGATTTTGCGAGTTGCGACTCGGTGCCATTGGTTGGTCGCGTTTGCATACAGTGGACTCGAGCTGGGACTGGACCCTGAAGCATAAGGCGAGAGACAGTGTCCGCTGTCACGCAGGACTACCTACTAGCATCGATTTGGTCACTTTGGAGACGACTATGGTCTTTTCTTATAGCACCTTGATGACGCCGTGTTACACTCTCTCTGGACATGGTGGGTGCGCTCCTCAACACACACGACTCCAGTCTCACGATGACCTGGTGAATAGTTGTTTAGTTTCTAGTACATGCCGTGTCAGTTTCCAAAACGCCCAAAGTCCCTTTACAGTGTAATGATTGTCTCTCAAACGGTACCTCTAATGCATCCGTACTGCTACATACGGAGTACTACATAGTATGTACAAGTATCCGTATGTAGGTAGTTAACCTAGGTACGTATCTATAGCCCCCTTATCTTATCATCCCACCATGCTATTGGTCCGTGCGCGAACCCGCCCAAATTTTTCCCGCGACATCAAAAAAGTTTCCAGGCGGTAGTAGCCTCGCCCACTTGTAGTCGCCTTTCCGACTTTGTTGCCGTCGCTGTCCAATTCCCCGGGCCGCAACTTCAGCCAGATTCTCCCAGTCTTCTTTTCTCACCACTTCTCCCCCCCCCCCCCCCCCCCTCTCCTGTGACGGAAGGAAACGCGATAATGGCCGACACCGATCCCAAAGGCTTCAAGCGCTCCAGCGCCGACAGAGAGGGCAGCTCGAGGAAGAAGGCCAAGAAGGAGGAATCCGACTCAGAGGAACCCAAGTACAACCCTTACCTGGCGCATATGGACGACAGCGGCGTGGACTCCAGCTCGGCCTTCGCTGGTTTCAAGCAGCGCGCCACCACCGCCAAGCAGGCTGAGAAGGTCGAGGACCTCGATACCAACGCCTTCACCGGCCGTCCCCATTCGCAAAAGTACTTCCAGATCCTGCAGACGCGCCGGGATCTGCCAGTCCAAAAACAAAGGTAAAGCTATGATCTAATCCCCTCCCCGACTTCTCCGGCTTGCTAATGCCCCCGTCATAGACAAGAGTTCCTCGACAAGTACCACTCCACCCAGATTCTCGTCTTTGTCGGCGAGACGGGTTCCGGAAAGACGACACAGATTCCCCAGTATGTCGTCTATGATGAACTTCCCCAGCTCAACCGCAAAATGGTCGCCTGCACCCAGCCTCGCCGTGTCGCCGCCATGTCCGTCGCCCAGCGTGTTTCCGACGAGATGGATGTTGAGCTCGGCGAGGAGGTCGGATACAGCATTCGTTTCGAGGATAGGACAAGCCCCAAGACGATCCTGAAGTACATGACGGACGGTATGCTTCTCCGAGAAGCCATCCACGACCACGAAATGTCCCGTTACAGCTGTATCATCCTCGACGAGGCCCACGAACGTACCCTCGCCACCGATATCCTCATGGCCTTGCTCAAGCAGATTGCTGCCCGCCGTCCCGACCTCAAGATCATCGTCATGTCCGCCACCCTCGATGCCCAAAAGTTCCAGCGCTACTTCAACGATGCCCCTCTTCTCACCGTCCCCGGCCGTACCTTTCCCGTCGAGATCTTCTACACCCCCGAGCCCGAGCGCGACTACGTCGAGGCGGCCATCAGGACGGTGCTGCAGATCCACGCTTCCGAGGGCGAGGGAGACATCCTGCTCTTCCTGACGGGTGAGGAGGAGATCGAGGACGCGTGTAGGAAGATCAATCTCGAGGCCGACGAGATGACGAGAGAAATCGACGCCGGGCCCCTGGCAGTCTACCCCCTTTACGGCACACTGCCGCCGCATCAGCAGCAAAAGATTTTCGACAAGCCCCCGGCCCCCTACAGGAAGGGCGGCCGGCCGGGTCGCAAGGTCATCGTGTCGACCAACATTGCCGAGACGTCGCTGACAATCGACGGTATCGTCTACGTCGTCGATCCGGGCTTCAGCAAGCAGAAGATCTATAACCCTCGCATCCGTGTTGAGTCGCTCCTGGTCTCGCCCATCTCAAAGGCTTCGGCCCAGCAGCGTGCCGGTCGTGCCGGTCGAACAAAGCCCGGAAAATGCTTCCGCCTCTACACCGAGAACGCCTTCAAGAAGGAGCTCATTGAACAAACGCACCCCGAGATTCTGCGCTCCAACCTGGCCAACACGGTGCTCGAGCTGAAGAAACTTGGCGTGCAAGACCTTGTCCACTTCGACCTCATGGACCCCCCCGCCCCTGAGACCATGATGCGCGCCCTCGAGGAGCTCAACTACCTGGCCTGTCTCGACGACGACGGCGAGCTGACGACCCTCGGCAGCCTGGCGTCCGAGTTCCCCCTCGACCCGGCGCTGGCCGTCATGCTCATCTCCTCGCCAGAGTTCTACTGCTCCAACGAGATCCTCTCCATCACCGCCCTTCTCTCCGTGCCGCAAATCTGGGTCCGCCCGGCCGCGCAGCGCAAGCGCGCCGACGAGATGAAGGCGCAGTTCTCCCACCCCGAGGGCGACCACCTCACGCTACTCAACGCCTACCACGCCTTCAAGGGCACGGCCAACCAGCCCGACGTCGATCCCAAGAAGTGGTGTCACGAGCACTTCCTCTCGTTCCGCCACCTCAGCAGTGCGGACAACGTCCGCGCCCAGCTGAAGCGCATCATGGAGACCCACGGCCTCGAGCTCATATCGACGCCCTTTGAAGACAAGAACTACTACACAAACATCCGCCGCGCGCTTCTCTCGGGATTCTTCATGCAGGTCGCCATGAAGGAGAGCTCCGGCAAGGTGTACCGCACCATCAAGGACGACCAGGCCGTCATGATGCACCCCTCGACCGTCCTAAAGACGGACTACGAATGGGTACTTTACAACGAGTTTGTCCTGACCTCGAAGCAGTACATCCGTACTTGCACCGGAATCAGACCGGAATGGTTACTGGTAAGTACCCCGCTGCCACCTCAACCCTCCCACCGATTCAGTTTGGGCGCATGAATGGATGAATTGCACATGCCCATCATTTCTACCCTCTCAACCTTGTTGCTGTGACCCCTCGGCACCCTGTCTTCTTGCCCCCCCCTGTCAGCTTACTCCTCGGCTAACGCGAACGTCACAGGAAATTGCTCCGGTCTACTACGACCTCGCCACTTTTGAGAAGGGCGACGTGAAGACGGCCCTCACCCGTGCCGCCGAGAAGAAGCGCCGCAAGGAGGCTATGAAGAACGGCCGGTGAGCGGCACTTGTGCAGGTCCCATTATACAGCTGCGGGGGGGGGTATGTTGGCTTGAAAGTCAATCTCCTTCAACCCTCTATGGCGGTGGCGGTGTCAATGTTCCAAAACAAGAAGGAACCCAGGCGAACTGAAGGGCAGCTAAAACTCTCTTATACCGGGGTGAGGCGATCGTATACAGAAGTACCGCGACTGCACATGCCGCTTTTGCGAGGGCCGCTCGCGTCGCGAGAAGGGGTGGCTTGACGACCAGAGGGCCCCTCTGAGCTGCTCTAAACCCTTTGCGTTATATTGGACAGAGGAGAAATTCTCCCTCGCCGTCCCGGGCTTTTTTCTTTCTTACCCTCCCTTCTCCTTGGCAAACCGTCAACTCGCACACAGACTACAAATTCTTGGAGGGGGGAACTCAAGCGGTAGAACAAAAAGGCTCGGTGGTCAACGTCAACACCAGGATGGCCCCATATCAGAAGAAGAGGTGGGAACGGGTTTGGGGGACAGGCGGGTTCGATAGAAGCCGGCCTGGTTTAGAAGTTTTAGATTTTTTTTCCCCCCCACGGCGTCCCAAGGAACGCCAAACAGAGAAAGAAGAGAAAATAAATAAAAAATATAAATTACCGAAGCATCGATGGAGGCACATTTTACGTAAGATGCGACTTTTCTTTTTTTCCCCCTTTCTTTTGTTCCATTTTCTTTACCGTCTTTCTCTTCTGCTTCGTCTTACCCTTGTCCTCTCTCTCTCTCTCCCTCTTCCGTAAGCCCCCACCCCATGCGCGTTCGACGTGGACACACATGCATCCCGCAGATGCAAATCGATGCATCACGAGTCTTTCCCGCCCCCCTTCTCTCTATCGGAAAGTCCCTCGGACCCGAATGGGCTTTTGACACACGGGTGTAGAACTCGACGTGGCACCCGGCCCATAGTGTACACACCCGCGGCTATCAGCGGGGAAACAGCGGTCTGTTCCGGGTTTTACACTAATTTCATCAAGGAAAAGAAATGAAAGCAAAACAAAACCATTGTTCGCGTTCCTTTTTTTTTCGTCAAAAGTCCACTTTGATGCTGGCCGGGCATAGGGCGGCAAGTAGGTAAGTCTTATCATGCATGCAGCATGCATACGCGACTAGTGTGTGTAACAATACCTGGCATCTGGTTTCAAGGAAAGGCCTTTTTTTTAGGGGTTTTTTTGTTTTTGCCTCAGCCCCGATCCCCACAAGTTCGGGCGCCGTTCGGACCTGGGCTACCGGATCCAAGAATGTCTCACAAGGGCATGGCTCATTAACGACATGGGGTAATTCTCGGCAGGAAGGCCGGACTCTCCCTCACCGCCTGGTCTTCCAGCACAGTGGATCTTGGGTTCTGTCTCTCTGCTGACATCGTTTGCATCGTTTGCTACCTAGTCTGGTAGCCTAGCGGTTCTCGCTCACTTGGCCGATGGGTGAGGCGTCCTGCTCGACCTCTTGGCAAATCTCTTCATTGGTAATGTAATGGTCACGGTTTGCCCATCCATCACTCCTAGATTTCATACTACGACCCTGAGGCCCCCCTGTCTTCATCGTCATCCTACATCTTTTTCAATCTTCAAAGTCGACAGGGAGGGGAGGCAAGGCAAAGACGCAGGAGGATCAATAAGCCAAGTGGAGTTGGAAAAGAAGTAAGAAATGGGGGGGGATGAAGGAGGGTTGAAGAAAAAAAAGGAAAAAAAAAGAAAGAAAAAAAAAAGACCGCAGATTCCCATCCTGTTGCCGCCACATTGAAAAAAACAGGAAAAGTTGTAGACAGGACTTACGAAGGATGAGGCGCCCCAGTGGGCCGACCAGAAGCGTCTCCCCTTCCGAAGCCCTGGGACAAGGCCCTGGAGGTGGGTGTTCTTTTCCCATAAATGTCTGAATTGACATATTCTCCTGCGGGCGAGACGACGCTCGTAGATGCGGTGCGGCGGCGTACTACTATGGTACCGTACCCACGGTCGTCGTGATATCCGGCGGTATCCGGCAGCAGGCGGGGGGGGGGGGGGGGGGGGGCCGCAGGTTTCCCGAGCCCGGTCACCTTACTTCGCCAAGGGCCAGAGTAGCAATATCCGGCCTCGGAGAAGGCTGCGTTCTGCTAAACATCAGCATCTAGCAACGCCTTGATTAGTGAACGGTAGTGGGTGGCGTGCGTTTCAACGTTTCCCGTGGTGGTGGCGAGTGCAGGTCGGGAACCGAAATCGAACAGTCCAGACCCTTTCGCACGCACCCCTCTCCATGCCCCTCCCCCTGTTGCGCCTTGGACCCCTATACCATATTATGTATAAGGGTGCAAAGGACTCCAGGCAAGTCCCTGGCAGGTTAGAGAAGCTGATATTAGCCTTGTCGAGTCTGGCGGCCATACAAGAAACAAAAGTAGATTATGCAAGTGTCCAAAGGGATTTGGGGGCCAAGGGGGAGACTGGTGATTACAGTTGAGACGGACAGAGAAAAGGGTCGGTCTAGGCATTCATTCTGTGGCCGAAAAAAGAAAAAGACCACCGCCTGTAATGGGGCAGAGTGACGTAGGAACGTAGAGAAACCTACCTACAATCGCGACATCGGCTCATCAGCGACGATGACGCAACGGAGCAGGGGAGGGGGAATGATGGACGAGTATATGTCCGTTTTTGTACACACGTAAAGACTTTATTGCGGCTTCCCCCCCGTGTGGCTATCCTATGAGGATCCGGCGACGGCGACGGGGAGTCATGTGACTCAAGCTTTAGATTTGCAAAGAATGAAATAAAATAAAAGTCGAATGAGTGTGAGTAGCGTAGCTTTTGGTCCAACGTCCAGAGACGTCCCCGTTGTACGAGGGAAAGAAAAGAAAAGAAGATAAAAGAAATAGGAATGGCCAACGTCCTCATCGACGGTCATTGGTTGGACGTCCCCTGTGTGGCAATCCCAGGACGCCGGTGAAGTGCATGTCAGTCGACGACCTGGCGAATCCCCGCCCTCGGACTAGACCACACTCGGATGCGCTGCCCAATCACACCGCCATGGACAGGGACATAGACAACATGTCCGAGCAGCAGCCCTGGCGTCACAAGACAACACGCTTGCTCTCTGTGCCACCCTTTTGGGCCGTTTCTAGGGAGTGCCGGAAGGGTCCGCTCGAATACATGCCGGACACGACGCATAGCTCTGCAAGCGTCGTCGACAGACGGTATAGCAGAGCATACCATAGCACGGCACAGCATCGTAAAACTCAGACTGGTAATAATTTATCCGCATTCGAGGATCGAGATTCGAGACTGTGGCGAACCGCGGCCGACCACATCGTGGAGTGGCACGCTGTCAGTGGGGTCTGTGTGTGGTGTGTGTGTGTGTGTGTGTGTGTGTGTGTGTGTGTGTGTGTGTGTGTGTGTGTGTGGTGTGTGTGTTAACGGGGCATTCGCTTGATGGTGCCTGCAAGCGATGACGTGCAAGACTGGTGTACCGGTATACGACCCAAAGACAGCCCTGCTTTTCTTGACCTTGCTTTGCCTGGATGGGCCAGGGTTCTTGGGAGTTTCCAAGGGGTGGCTTCTAGCCTGCCAGGCGGGATGGTCCCCGACGACCTGTCTTCCTTTCCTGTCAGAGCCGACATGTATTGGCCCCGAATCTCATAGTCAGCCATGCCGACCCGCTGCATGTCGTTTGAGGCCAGTCGTAAGAGGAACGGTTGCCGCACTGGCACATGTCTCCCGGGTCGACCCAATATCAGGCCTGACTCAAGATGCCCTGGCGAATCAAGACTATAAGGCGGTCGGTTTGGCTGCGGTACACTAAGGATTCGTTCAAATTGCTGGTTGGCAGGCGAAATGGTGTAGAATCAGTAGCGTTCAGGGTGCAGGACGGGTCGATGAATCCACTCGCTATTTTAACTTTATCAAAGGTCGAGGCGAAAGATAACCAGTGTGCTATAGCTCCAGGCTGGGGCCGGTCCAGTAACGAGGACGACCAGGCGACTGATTGGAGACGATCGACACAGCCCGCGATGCTCTCCTTAGCAGTCTCGGTCATCCGTCCCACAAGGCATATTGCCCGCCCCTTTCTCACTTTCTCGGCGAGCAACTGGCGTGTGTATTTCCTTCTTAGTCTTGGTGAATAACTTGCTGGCCTTGAGCAGTCAGTACCAGTTTGAGCCACTCTTACAGCGGGCCAACTGCACCCACCTAATGTGAGTGCCCGTCGGGTGGCCGCTAGTTCCTGCAGGCATGAAGCCAAACACATTTGCCGTAGAGGTTCTTGAGCAGAACAGAGGGAAAGCCTGGGTTCTGGCCCCAAGGTAAGGTGTCAAAGTACACTAGTCAAGCAACGATCGTAGAGACTAGTCGCTCTAGCCAAGGCTACCCTGCTCCATCACTTGGTTAGCTCTTAGGCTTCATCTCCCAATCAAACGTCTTGGAGTCTGTCCCGTGGACTAGGTCGCGGAGCTTTCTAGACATCAACATGACGAGACCTTGCTCGTTGGGAGCGGAACCCTGGAAGCCGTGGGATACCAACCACGGCCTGCTTCCGCTGCCATGCATGGATGGGCTCATCATTCTGCACGCGTTACGAGTACCATCCAAGACCGCTCTGTGCCGGTGCCCCTGTGGTTCAAAGTTAGTCTCAAGTATAGAACAGTTTTATGGCCTTGATGTTGCACCTATCAAAATAAATCTAGGTACAGTGCCCTTGCTTGCTGTAAAAGGTACCAAGTCAGCTCTGTCGTTTTTAGAGCATGGCAGCTCTGTGGTTTAACTTCACAAGCAAGTTTCCAGGAAACACTTATGTTTCCGCACCAACAGATAAATGAAGTCGAGAATCATGGGTGGTATACGTTGCGGTGTAGTAAGCTCAATCCGGACAAGATAGAAGCTCTCACAATCTTGTTCCACGCTAGAGCACCAAGCAACTCCCGTCGCTCTAGAGAGAGCCACAACAGATCGCTAGGATGTGGCATCCACCCCAAAGTACACGAAACGCTTGTACACAACTGCGGGTAAAGCCGTCTGCAGCTTGTGTCC